AGACCCGGGTTCGATTCCCGGGCGGCGACAAGATCGTCGGCGACGGCGGTTGTGTCGGAGATGAGAAGAGCTCGAGCGTTGAGTGTAGAACCGAGTCCGAGCTCCAACCCGAGTCCCAGTTGGATGGTATGCAGAAACTTGTGTCGATGATCAAGCAGCTGAATCCTTTGGCCAAGGAGTTTTTCCCTTCTCACTACAACCAGAAGAACAATCAAGAGGGAGAATTCAATCAGCTGCTGTCGGCTGACGATTTCGTGTCCCCAAAGAAGCCATCGGATGATGAATTTTACTCTGGCGACAAGAAGGATGGCAATATCAGGAGGGTAATCACTTTTCTTATATATAAATATTGTAATAAGCTCATAAGATCATATAAAGTCGAGATCTTTTGGAGTCTTATTATATTGTTTGAGCGCGGAAGATGTTGAATGCTGGTTTCTGAGTGATGGTATGTTATCATCCATGGTGATTAGTAATGAATATTTGATCTTGCACGACTTATCTCTGTTCATCTTGTTGCTTGCTGCTACAGAGGAGAAATAATTATGGCCAGGGAGGAGGAAGAAGGAGATTTACTGGAAGAGCTAATAAGGCTCAGAGAGAAGATAGTGTTAGACGAACAATATATGTTTCTGATATCGATCAGAGTGTAAGTTCATTCATAATCTCTGTAGTCTTCGAATGGACATGCTTATGGCTCTGTACCTGAAATTTGCTTCATAATTGGTTTTAGGTTTCAGAAGAGCTTCTTGCTGAACTGTTTAGCAGTTGCGGGCAAGTAAGTCGGGAATGCTTTACTCGCTTTTGTTGCTTTGCATTTCAGATTTGCATCTAAGGCTCGTTTTCATTTCAACATTTTAGTCTAATTTGCTTATTTTTCGCTGGTTTTATCCTTCTCTTTTGGTCTTTGGTGATGCATTTCTTGGGTGACAATGCCATCCTTTTTGGATCTTATGGAATCCATTATTAGATTTTGTCTGAATCTGGTGATGGGTCAGGAGAGTTGGATTGATCAGATTTCTTTGGTGACAACTATAGAAAATGCTTAGATTCATCAAGTTTTTGGAGTTGAAAACTTATTACAGATGTTCTTGGCAAAGTGTGAGACTTCTTATGTTTGTGAAGTAACACCCGAGTTTTTTTGTTTCGAAGGTTGTTGATTGCCGAATCTGTGGAGATCCACATTCAGTTCTCCGCTTTGCATTTGTCGAGTTTGCATATGAGCGTAAGTCCTTTGCAAATTCTCTGTATCGGCCCGACTTTTATGTAGAGTCATCTATTCACTTAATGAAATATTTTGTTTCAACAGAAGGCGCACGTTTGGCTTTAAGCCTTGGTGGGACGATGCTCGGGTATTACCCGGTTAGGGTTTTACCCTCGAAAACCGCCATCCTTCCCGTGAACCCTACCTTTCTCCCTCGGGTAAGAGAACTATTTATCAATTTTGATAAAGTTTTTGAGTTGTAAAACAAGTCCTCTTTTAATTACTTTTGGGATGAATTCAGTCTGAAGATGAAAGGGAGATGTGTACAAGGACTGTTTACTGCACAAACATTGACAAGAAGGTAACTCATTGTTGCAGAAAATTTGTTGTCTTTCTTTATGTGATTTGTAGATATACACACACATACACATGGCTATATCCCTTGTAGATTTGTCCTCAGTTTAAGATTCTCCCTTAACTGCAGGTCTCACAAGCTGATGTTACAACCTTCTTTGAATCCACATGTGGTGAGGTAAGAAAAGAACACAAGTTTTATTTATTATATCTTCTGGTAATCACTTCTCTTTCAGGACAGAACATAAGTTTTGTTATGTAACATGACCCTTTTAAGAGGAAGAACACTTGAAGCATTTGTCTTTAATTTACAGGTAACCCACCTGAGGCTTCTCGGCGACCAAATGCATTCAACTCGCATAGCTTTTGTCGAATTTGCTACGGTAAATCTCTTCAATTTATTCTCCTATATTTGTTTTTTTTCCCCCGAGGATTAGAGCTTTCTGTCTGAACTCTGAACCCGACAGTTTCAACAGTTTTCACCTATAAATTTACGCATGATCTCTTTCTGTCTTCTGCTTTCTTCTTGGATGAACAGGCGGAAAGTGCGGTTAAAGCGCTCAGCTGCAGTGGAATGGTCCTCGGGACACAACCTATAAGGTCTTCTTCCCTTCCGAGAAATGAACCCTTACAATAATACACGTTCTTTGAAACTTTCAGTTGAATCGAAAACTGAATATTTCTTCGGGTTTCTCAGGGTAAGCCCTTCAAAGACACCCGTGAGGCCACGCATCTCTCGCTCTTCATCAACCGAGTAAGAGACCAACCTTTTTCCGAGCCCCCTGTTGTTCATGACGGGATGATGATCCATCATTTCATCTCTTCAGTTATTTTCCGGCCACTCTTTTCTCTCATAGCCATGAAACAGCACGCTTCTAAATTCGAAGTTCTTGTTAGTCTCATTTCACTTTCTCTCAGCTGAGACATTGTTTGTAATGGTTAATCCAAGAATTTTGGAGCACTTTGGTTCTTGAGTTTCACTTCTAAGTTTTCCAAGAATTTTGGAACAGTTGCTACTCTCAAACGCTTTATGGATCTGGTGAAACATCAAAGTTCCTGCAAAAAAATCTCACAAAAAGTCGATACACCAGTCGATATACAGACAATTCACTGCATATATATACTAGTTTTCTTGCAATCGTGAACTGCATGAATCTCAGACAACCATTGTAACAGTGTCTCAATCTTCGTTGTCTCATCTTCCAAGATTGAACATATCTTAAGTTTACACGGATATGATTAATACAGAGCCTATGGTTCACCCTCAAGACATGACCAACTTGATGATCCAGTTATACAGTATATGAAGATTACTGGTTTGGACTGGCGTTGTAAATATTATTGGGCTTCTCAATCAATGGCTAAACATTGATCCCTTTCCCATCATTTTCGGAAACTATAGGGGCCAATCCTACAATTATCCAAAGAATAGTCATCTAAACGACATCGTTCCCTCTGCAAACCCCTTCCCCCCACTTAGAGAAACACAAATGACAAAACCCTAGATCATCACTCTTCGTCATCCCCGATCTTTGCCTGGAGAATCATCAGATGAGAGGAGCTATAGGAAGAAGATTGCCCAATCCTAATGGGTATAACCTTGCATCCGTAGCCAACCAGTCCCCTTTTCTCATCCGACCCACCTCCCATTTCTCCTCCTCCTCCTCCGGCGGACACGGCCGAGGACGCGGCCGCGGAGCTGCTACCGGCGATGGAGGATTATCCGTAGGACGTGGCCAATTCGATTTTAGTCAGGCGCCGGGAAACCCCAGTGAACCGGAGAACCCAAAACGTGACTCGCCGGAACCGCCGCCATCGGTCGGACATGGTCACGGTCGTGGTCGACCGATCGGATCGGACCCAATTTCTCCAGCGTTTTCCTCGTTCGTTTCGTCCATCAGACCGGTTTCTCCCGGCGTCGGGCGCGGCCGAGGCGCGGCCGGACCAGCCCCGGGTCCATCTTTCTCCGCCGATTCTCCTCCTCCTCCGCCGCCGCCGGGGGAGCAGCCGCCGCAGCCACCGAAACAACCCATCTTTGTGAAGTTGCAGGAGATCAAGGAATCGACGGCGTCTGAATCTGGGAAAGTTAATCTGCCTTCCGACATATTCGGTGCGCTAGGAAGTGAAAATCTTCATTCCAATCGGGCAAATGCCCGCCCGCCGCAGCCACCGAAACAACCCATCTTTGTGAAGTTGCAGGAGATCAAGGAATCGACGGCGTCTGAATCTGGGAAAGTTAATCTGCCTTCCGACATATTCGGTGCGCTAGGAAGTGAAAATCTTCATTCCAATCGGGCAAATGTGTTCGGAAGCGGAGCTGGTCGGGGAAAACCCGCGACAGAAACTGGTCCTGCGCAGCAGGTGCAGGAAGAGAACCGCCATATCCGCAGAGCTCAGGCGCAGCAGCAGCAGCGATTCGGGAAGAGTGAATCTCAGGGAAGTCCGAGGCATGCTGTGAGGAGAGGGAGAGGGAGGGAGAGAGGAAGGGGGATAGGAAGCGGGAGAGGAGGAAATAGAGAAGGATGGAGAGATGGAAAGTCAGAGGAAGAGATTGAGGCCGAAGCTATGAGTGTGTTTGTGGGGGACAATGCTGATGGAGAGAAGTTTGCTAAGAGGGTTGGTCCTGAGAGGATGGACGAGTTGATGGAACGTTTCGAAGAGATATGCGACGATGTTTTGCCTGATACTGCTATGGATGCCTATGTTGACGCCTACGAAACCAATCTGATGGTAAACTCATGTTTTCTCTTTTGGTTGTGAGAGAAAAAAAAACATAGAATTTCTTACTTTCAGAATGAGATAGGGACATGTTCCAACTTCAGGTCACGTTTCTGATCGATGGTAGCTGATATTTTGGCATTGTTGAGGCTTTTTTTCTCATCAAAATGCCGGGTTTGCATTGATGGATGTGGCATTCATTTCTTGACTTTGCAGATTGAGTGTGAGCCGGAATATCTGATGGCAGACTTTGAATCAAACCCTGATATCGATGAGAAGCCACCAATGTCTCTTCGTGATTGCCTCGAAAAGGTGAAGCCTTTCATAATGAGTTATGAAGGAATCCAGAGCCAAGAAGAATGGGAGGTACTGGTTTTTTTTTGCTTTTACATAGTCAAAGCTATTGGGTGAATGCATTCTCCAAAGTCCGTCCTTTACTTTGATCAATCTGTATCTGCTTATTGCATAAAGCTATATACCGTAGATGTATAGATATAGCAGAATGTGTGCAAAAAGAAGAAGGTTGGTTTGTGTTAAAGCCATGTTAGGTTATCTCTTTCATTTTTCATTTGGGTTTTCATGGTTTAACAGGAAGCTATCAATGAGGTGATGGAGAGGGCACCCCTGATTAAAGAGATTGTCGATCACTACAGTGGGCCTGATCGGGTTACCGCTAAGAAACAGAACGAAGAGCTTGAAAGAGTCGCTAAAACGCTTCCCCAAAGCGCTCCTGATTCGGTAAAACGATTCACCGATCGTGCTGTTCTTACCCTTCAGGTCCGTCTCTGACCCAGATTCTCCATCTCACTCTTATAACCTCGTCTCGTTTTCTCCCATTTCCCGAGAAAACGCAAGAATCTGAAGGTGGTTAATTTTTGATGATATGAAACTTTGACAAATGCAGAGCAACCCTGGTTGGGGCTTCGACAGGAAATGCCAGTTCATGGACAAGCTCGTTTGGGAGGTTTCACAGCAATACAAATAAAAAGGTTACAAAGCAGAAAACTTTCTAAACGTATGTATGTTCTCAGCGAACGAGAATGAGATTCGTTGTCTTGTTGATCTGATCTCTCTGCCAACATCTTTAGACGTTACCAGTTTCCAAGTTTCCTTCAAAAGCAAATGCTCGGATTTGGCTTTCGGTCTTCTTTTGTACCCTTTTAGACCCTTATGTTAATTTTCAGGGTTTTGTAATAATGGCACTGTCCTTCCCTCCATTCGTTGCACGATTCAATTTGTTTCATGCCTGAAATTTTCCTTCCCGTTCATTTAGACTCTTGTTCATGTAGAGATTTTTTTTATATAAAAAAATGGTAATAATTTTTCTCCATTGAAACTGTGATATTTTAAATCTAAACATTTTGAAGGGCACCAGTGGTCTAGTGGTAGAATAGTACCCTGCCACGGTACAGACCCGGGTTCGATTCCCGGCTGGTGCAAAAGTTTTATTTTTGTCTTTATTTTTTTTAATTTCATTTTCCATGGGTTGAAATCCAAGTAAAAAGTATTATTTGCATATATATACACACCCACATAAATTTATCCAATTAAAGAATTAGATGTTCAAATATCCTGTATAATGTTTCGTATATTCCGTATTTTGTCCATTAGCAAATACAATCAACATTACAATAACGGACGATAATTTTATTCATTGTTTAAAAAGCTGTAATGTGGTCAAACATAAATTTGTTTACACATGGAGAAGTACGAAGAATCAGTCTTCGTTGAGATTTTTCCTGATTAAAAAACCACCGGTTATTATCTCTTTGCAAGCTTGTCGGTTCCTTGCAAGTAAAGAAAAGAAGAACAAAGAATAAAATAAATAATTTTCAGTCTACGACTTTGGATTATGTTATTATATATGATTGATTGGTTTCAAAAAAAAAAAAAGAAAGAGAAGGAAAAATATGAGCGATGTTGCCGTGGGAGTAGTAGGAGGAGGCATTTTGGCAGTGGTGCTAATAATGTTAATTTATTACATCACTCGCAAGACAAAGCTGCCGGAGCCTCCGCCACCGGCGAGCCGTACGGATGTGTACGGGCAGAGATACGGTGACGTGGAAACAGGCAAAAGAAACATTGGCACCAGAGACGGAGGAATCGTTGTATATATTGACGGTGGCGGCTGGTACTGTGGGAGGTTTTACGGTGGCCGACGCTTCCGGTGGTTACGGAGGCGGTGGTGGAGCTTGCGGAGGTGGAGATTGCGATGGTGGCGGTGGCGGCTGCGGTGGTGATTAATGATGACGGTTTCCTAATCAGTATATAAATATATATATGTATATATGTGAATATTAAGAATTAGACTACATGACCGGTTAAGTACCCGTCAAATATCTTGGGTTGATATAGTCTGGTTTTTATTTTATTTTTTGCTCACCCCGTTTTAGGTTTTTCTTTTATGTTTTTGTTTTCCTTTGTATATAAGAAACTTTTATTCTTCATTTTGGAAATGTAACAAAGAAATTTGCTCCGGTTGTGATATATATATATATAATAGACAATTATATATCTTAATTTGAATGTAGATATAACTTAAATCTTACTGAAATTTATGCAGTTATTTCCCTATAAAACGTTTATCATCATATCAAGGGGTAATTGATACGATGAAAACTAATACTGGTAATGGAGACCGTAATCTTTGGGTTTGACTTTGAATGGTACTATTTTTTATTTTGAATTTTTGGTTTTAAGTTTTAGTTGTTGGGTTTTGCTTTTGGAAATAAATAAAAAAAAAGAGAGTTTTTTAGTTTTTAGTTGATTTTTCATCGAATTGGTTTTTCAAGTTTTTTCATAAAAACCAACTTTATAAAAAAAATGATTGGTTATTTTTTTAGTTTTTTTAAATCCAAAAACTCTAAAAAACTTAACCATTTATAATACTAGGTGGTCCTTTCGGATTTCGTTTCGGGTTCGGTTCGGTTATATTCGGATTCGGTTATTTTGGTTATAGAAAAATTATAACTATTCGATTTTTATATAAATTTCGTTTGGATTCGATTTCATTTTTGTAGAAAAAATCATTTTTTCAAGGGTTATTTTTTTTATTCGATTCGATTTTGGTTTTTTTAGGTTTAAAGAAATTATAACCATTCGGTTTTAATGTCGGATACGGTTATATCTTATCCATTTAGATTCAATTCGGTTCTTAAATGGCCACCCCTAATTTATACCCTTTATTTCCCGCTACGAAAACGGTTCGAAGAATAAGTCTTCCATGCATCATTCCCCCCTATTTCTAATAGTCTATTTTGAACCCTCGTGAGATAGTTTCGAAGTTTATTAATCTGGATAACAAAACACAAACTCGTTTCATTCGGACAACAATGTGTTCTGTTTTTTCATAGCTCGGGCGACAATCGTTTATTACCGGGGTATTAATTGAAATTTTATTTATGGAAAATAAAATAACAACAGGGAAGAACATTTTCACACGTTTTCACAGTAATCAAAGGGGATTAGGATTTACGTACAAAGAGTTCATGTGTCGTTGGGTTTTTCCTTGAGGTTAATCACTATATTCATTGTAGAACTTGCTTAGAGACAGTAATTAATTACGTGATTAAAGATTGATTCTAAAACTAAAGGAGTGAAGTAAGCCGAGATCCAGTGAATCTCCTAGTTATAAAAAAAAACTTGGCGTGGAACGGTGGCAGGGGAAGCCAAGGACTCATCCATCGCAATCTTATAATCACTTCAAACATGATTTAAAGGAAACATGTGTGACGATCTCATCAATTTCACTCTAAAAATGATAGGGAGAGACCGAGTATGGCTTAATAATATCGAAGCGAGATTTGACGCATACATATCATGATCACAAGCTCAGCATCATTGATTAAAACTCGAGTTCGAAGTTTCGAAAGGAAGAAATATCGACCTGCAGACTCGTTGTCAGTTCTGCCTAGACGCAACGTAATTGGCTAAGGCCGCAAGAGGAGCAGCTTTGTCCGAATCAAACCATCGGAGCTGCTTCAACGCTTCTGCGTTCAGCTTATCCGCGAATTCCTTCGATTTCTCCAGACCCATCAGCTTCGGATATGTCAGCTTGTCGGATGCCACGTCTTTCCCTGCATTCTTCCCCAGTTCCTCCGAGGATTTCGTCACGTCTAAGATATCATCCACCACCTGAAACATTAGCCCCACATGTCTGGCAAACTTTCTCAGCTTCTCTATCTCCTCGTCCGATCCGCCTCCCATTATCGCCCCAAGAACTGCCGATGCTTCCAGCAAAACCGCCGTCTTGTGGACATGGATGAACTCCAGTTCTTCCAGCCCCACTTCCCCCGGGTTCAGCCCTCCGCTGCTCATATCCACCACTTGTCCCGCCACTAGCCCTTTTGTCCCGATCGCCTTAGCCAGTTCTCTCACGGCACAGATCATCCTCTCGGGATCCACGCCTCGCGTCGCTGCAGTCATGTGCTCAAATGCCAGTGAGATAAACGCATCTCCAGCCAAAACGGCTATGGCTTCTCCAAACACCTGCGGTTGGAAGAATGGTACAGATTCAGTAGCATAAACGTTTGGGACATGCCCTTGATGTATTTACCTTATGGTTAGCGTGTTTTCCACGGCGGAGGTCTGCATCGTCCATGCACGGCAGGTCGTCGTGGATGAGGCAAGCGGTGTGGATCATCTCGATGGCACAGGCAGCAGGCATGGCTGTAGCCTCGTGGCCACCCAAAAGCTCGCAAGCGGCTAGACAGAGGACCGGCCTGACCCGCTTGCCTCCCTCGAGCAACGAGTAACGCATGGCCTCGTGGATCTTGAGCGGCTCCTTGAGCGGAACAGCGGCATCTAGGGCCTCGTCGATGGATTCAGCCTTTTCGAGCACGTAGCGCCTGAAATCAAAGGAGGGATTATCGTTTTCATCGACAGTGTTGTGACCCGAGGAGAGGCGCAGGAAGGGTGAGTGATTGAGGGAAGGTTTTGGTACGGATCGTCTCCTGGGATTTTGAAGGAACATACATACAGATTGATGAATTTCGAAGGAGGAAAATACTCAGATTTGTACGTATTCCTCTTTTCAAGAAATTCAACCCATAGAAGCCTAACAGTTCCCTAAGAACCAGGGAGTATTGTGGGGATCCTGAGAACATGGACTATCTCAATTCTCAACAGTTTATAGTGTATTTGAATTTGTATTTAAATGATTCGATTTTTATAATTTGATATCCATATTCGTACATGAATATATTGGATATCTAAAAAAAATAATCGGATGAATCTGAAAATTATTTTTTTTTAAAGAGAGTTTTCTTCAATATAAAGTGTATAAATTGAAATATTGTGCACTATATTTCACGTTAGAATTTATTAGCAGTTATAATTTAAAAATATACTGAAACATTTATGCATGTGAATATGTGATAGTTTTGAGGAAATGTCGTTCATGCAGCATGCCATGTTAGGGTTTCAATGTTTCCGTTACAAGGTTAAAGGCTCCCTTGGAAAATATGAGAGGGCATCTTTTAATATTGTAGGAAACATTTGTATATATGAACAAAAATAAAAATATATATGCAAAAGACGAATATATATTTATAAAATAAAATAAAATAAAAGATTAGTGGAGTGGCTATCTATGCCTATGTGCATAAAGCATTTCGTCTGGTGCGTTGAAGAAAGGCTCCATATATTCGTCAATAATAATAATGATAATGATAATAATAATAATATTTTGTTTATAAAAACTAATAATATTTTGTTATTCCACGTCCACCACTCGTGCTAATCCCTTTCGGATCCCGTTTATTCGGTCAAATCATTTATTCTCCAACGTCGGACATTCGCATGTGACACGTACCTATCTATGCATGCATGCTTGTATATCGCATATCCATACGTATAGATTAATAATAGAATGGTGTCGGCATGTAATTCTCACAACCATTGTTTTATATTATAAAATCCCATTCATTTTACAATTTTCGTTCGTGTATCTAAAATTTTATAATATTTTTTTCTCATCGGAAGTGGTTGTTTCTACTTTATTATTATAATGTTATATGAATTTATTTCATATATTTACCGATATACATATATATATATATAATCTCAATATCCGTTCATTCTTAGTCGTTTTAATATCAACCATTTAAACATTGAGTTTGTTGTACATTAACAAAAAAAAAACATTGAGTTTGTACAAATGTGAATATAGCTTGAATGCTTTTGAATGAAACTTGCCTTGTGAGTTGTACACTAGCTAGTACTTTCAGAATTAATGTACATTATATTCATTGTAGAACTTGCTTAGAGACAGTAATTAATTACGTGATTAAAGATTGATTCTAAAACTAAAGGAGTGAAGTAAGCCGAGATCCAGTGAATCTCCTAGTTATAAAAAAAAACTTGGCGTGGAACGGTGGCAGGGGAAGCCAAGGACTCATCCATCGCAATCTTATAATCACTTCAAACATGATTTAAAGGAAACATGTGTGACGATCTCATCAATTTCACTCTAAAAATGATAGGGAGAGACCGAGTATGGCTTAATAATATCGAAGCGAGATTTGACGCATACATATCATGATCACAAGCTCAGCATCATTGATTAAAACTCGAGTTCGAAGTTTCGAAAGGAAGAAATATCGACCTGCAGACTCGTTGTCAGTTCTGCCTAGACGCAACGTAATTGGCTAAGGCCGCAAGAGGAGCAGCATATATATATATATATATATATATATATATATATATATTATATGGTACAACAAACTATAATATTATTTTTCATCTGTTTAATATTGTCCCCTCATTAATTTATTGGAAAACAAAGAGCACTATACATGTCTCATCTTTGCTTCAAGATCTGTCTGAAACCATATCTTTATGGGGCTATGCATGCACCGAGCTTGCAAGATCTTGCCTGCTCGCGGAGTTCCATTGCAAAGACATTGAATTCGACCTCCAACTAATAATTTAATTGCAAATATCTGAATTAGTTATGTCCCCTCGTCGGTCCATCATCAGTTAGGCCAAAAGCCAGTGATCATACATATTCTTTATTATCATGATTATTCGCATAGAACAAAAATAATAATAATTAAAAGAGGCGTTGTATTATTTATGATTGTCCACTAATTAGATGCACATGAGCACATGATTAGCGGTGTGGGGGCAAACCCATGTGCCAATATACCTTATAAACACCATATGCCTATATATATAAGATCGTTAGTTCTTGTGGTTTATGACTCAGACCAGAACTTCCAAAGCTATTTGATCTTTCACATTTGATACAAAGATCCGTTTTTAAAAACCACCCTTTTGTAAGAAAATGGCGTCTGTTCAATATGAATTCGAAGACATGGAGATCAACGATTCGATCATCATGTCGCTTCTCGAAGAATCATCTCTAGACGATGATATCAGCGAGGACGAAGAGCAACTGAACCGAGTGATGAGATCGTTAGAGGCCGAGATTAACACGACCTCGTTAGACTGTCCGAACGTGGAGGAAACCGACAGATCCCGTTTCGAAAAACAAGTGGAAGGATGCGAATTTCCGGAGCCACGGGATCGCTTCGATGATTTCGGGCTGGTCGATGCCATGCTTTCGTTACAGAGCGATGATGACATGATGATGAGTTGGTATTCGGTATCTTGCATGGATGGTGCGGATGGTAACAACGTTCGTGAAATTGGAGGATTCGACGGCTATTCTCAAATGAACTACGAGGTCGCGTTTGAGGAGCAGCAATTCTGCTATGAGCTGTGGCAAGATCAGACCAATGACGTAATTTTTGTGTAGGTTTCATGTTGTTTTGCTATGTAACTCTTGTCTGTATATCACGTCCTTGTATGTCTCGTTTTTAACCAATTCGATTTCTCGTCAAATTTAAAATATTGTATGATATGATCGAATGTTTATGAATTATATTGATATCCATTTCAATTAAAAACTTATTTGACTGATTTTTTACCTTATAATATGTATGTATACACACACGCACGGAACACATCTTGATATTAAACATTAAAATTAGTGAACAGGTGATTTCAATGTTTTGTCATGATGTTCGTAGTTCTATAAATAAATATTATTATTTCATTAACAACAAAAATATCACTATTTCATCGATAATAATGATTAGAAAAATGTCTTTGCGTTGAAAGAGTTTAGTTTAGTGCTCACATTATTGTTTGATTCCATGTTTATTTCTACGGACCATAGGTTGCAAGGGTTTAATATTTTTTTTTATATATATAAAACCGAATCGCATCAGACCTAATAGTACCGAATTAAATTTAAAAAAATGATTAAATATAATATTTTAAAACCACAATGATTGAATCCGAACGAAAATCAAATCAAATATGAAAATAACTAAAAAAATAATTAAACAAAAATCTTTAAAATTATTATTTAATAAAAAGGAAATTTAATAATAATTTTTTGATACAAAAAATAAATAAATAATTTTTTTTACGAAACTAAAAAAATAAATTCAGAATAACAGAATCTAAATCTAGACCGAAACGAAATATACAGGGATCTAAACGTAATAGTTTTTTTTTGGGGTATCGTTATTAAGATATATAAGCCGAGAGAAAGCCCATGGGCAATTAGCCCAAGCAGTTGGTTATATATATATATGTATGTATAGGAGGATAGGCCCATAACAAAGGCAAGTGCCTTAAAAGCCCATTGGCTACTTCATGAACATATAGGCTATATAAGGTTTTTATATATATATATATATATATATATATATTTTGTATAAGGTATAAAAAGGTAAACCTAAAACCGTGCAATACATGATTTTAATATAGAGGAAATTTGCGCAATTGCAACTATACGATTATTTAATCTTATCGCATATATACATATATGTGTGTACATATATATATATATGTGTGTCTGAGTATTAATATATATTTGATGAAATCTTATATATAAATAATAATATTTGTCTGCCTCAATAGAATACCCTTATACTAAAAAAAGGGTATTTGTCTAGTGAACTATGCATGGTATATTCTTAGCGACTAAGAAAGAGACTCGGAGCAAAAAGACGCATATGCATCTATATATATATATATATATATTATTTTTTATTTTATATAAATATATGATATATCATATAAAGCGCTGCTACACGAAATCAGCTTTTTGTAAATATTTTCTTTTTATCCACGGTAGGTAAAATACATTTCGCGTTTTTTTGGATTATAGATCTTTGTTTTTTCGTATTTAGTTTTCATTTTTAAAAATTGATATACATGGATTTTGGTTTTGAATTTTGATTTCTCTCCTATTCGAATTCACATTTTATTAAAGAAAATATCAATTTTCTCAACGATTTTTTAAAATAATTTATATTCTATTCAAATTTAACAACTTTATTTTTAAAAAATAAATATTCAATTACTTTTTAGATTAAAGTCAACTAAAAACGATTATATATTATTAACTTACATTATAATTTCGTATAAAAAAACCTAAACGACGAAACCAGTGGCCATTTTTATTTTTTATTTTTAATAATTTATAGAGACTGACCACTTCTTTTTCGTCGCAGCACAAACTTGTAGTTGTAAACTTTTAAGAGCAAAAGAAAATAAAAATAGAACACCAAATGTTTGTTTCTGTATGCTATTTCCATTTTTCATGTAATATTTTATGGAGGAAAAGTTGATTAATTTAATAAAAATCTCCTTTTTTTTGTAACTTTAATACTTTTGACCCCTTAGATCAATGATACATGCATGTGGTTGGCAATGTGTTATTGCGTGTTATTATACACATCATACACTGTATAAGTATAACCACCTTCCATATATATATATATATATGCGCTCATCAATATAATTATATAAGTATAAGATATTATTATTATTTAGCAAGCTATATTGAAAAAAATCAAATCTTGGACTTTGATATTTAAAAAACATTTAAAAATTTCATTTGGGTTTAGTTTGTCATATTTATATCGGTACAATCATATATATGAGAAAATAAAAACATACATATTTGGATTCCAATGATTTCACATGGGCAATTAAAAAGCATTAGTTTGATATTATTTTAAAAAGTAATTTAATTTCAAGGGGTTTTAAAATTTATTTATTTATGAACCCCAACTCGTTTTCCCTCTAAAAAAGAACGGCCATGTAGAAAATACAATACATCTTCGCAAAAAGCAAAAAAAGCCAAAAAAGAGATCGCACCACTGCTCTCTCTTTTCAATTTGTCCGCCATGGAAGCTCACCTCGCTAAGCAATTTCCCCTTTATATCAATCCTCCTCTTTCTTTCCTTCCCTCTGTTTCCCTCCAAAAACCCACCGACGAAACCCCCAAAAGCGTCAAAATCGGCACTTTTGGTCCAATTTCTCCCAATGTCTTACGAGATTGTTCCCGCGGATCCCATCGATGTACCGAGCACGAGCTATTCTGGTCGGAGAAATTCGCCGGATCACCCCACCAGTCAGTTCACGAGGTCCCTCACATTCCGGGAACATGTTCCTGAGCCCTTCGACAGTGAGAGGTTGCCGGCGACGTTAGCTTCGGAAATTCAGAGGTTTCTCCGAGTTGCAAACTTGGTTGAGTCTGAAGAACCTCGTATTGCTTATCTATGTGGGTTTCTGTTGCCTTATTATGTTTGCCCTAATTTGGTTCAGCCTATGCTGAATTTGAATCTTTTTTTAAAATTGGGGTTTCTTGTTCAAGAATCATAAGTGAAGACCAATGTTCAGAACTTCTTGTTTTCCTATGTTGCTATAATTGTTTTTGCAGGTCGTTTTCATGCTTTCGAGATAGCACACTACATGGACAGGAATTCCACGGGAAGAGGAGTTCGGCAGTTCAAGACATCTCTTCTCCAAAGGCTTGAACAGGCAAGTCATTGAATATCAAGAACATGTGTCGGAACAGAGATATGACTTGGATCAGTTTAGGGTAGTTTATGAATTTGGTCAACACTCTGAATTCAATTCTTGTTTTCGGGGTCTCTATTTATCTGTAGGACGAAGAGGCTACCATAAGGAGAAGAAAAGAGAAGAGTGACGTTCGTGAACTGAAACGTGTTTATCATGCTTACAAGGAATACATTATCAGACATGGTGCAGAATTCAATTTGGATAATAGGTATTCTTTGTCCCTGCTGTCATGCTTTATGGTTCCATCTTGGAATTGTCTTTTGATTTTCATGATGTATACAGTCAAAGAGAGAAGCTGATAAATGCTCGTCGAATTGCTTCTGTTTTATATGAAGTTCTAAAGACAGTCACTAGTGCAGCCGGTCCTCAGGTTCCTGCCTCCCTTTCTGTGTTACACAAATATGTGTTACTTTTGCATTTGTTTCTGCAGAGTTGAAAATTGAACATGAAGTTTTGATTTCTGAATTCTGATTAGGCCATTGCAGAAAGAGACAGTATTCGTGCAAAATCTGAATTCTATGTACCATATAACATTCTTCCCCTTGACAAAGGTGGGATGCATCAAGCAATTAGGCAGCTGCCCGAGGTATACTCATCTATGGTGTCATGTGGAACACTGAGTTGTTTCTTTTTTCGTCCAGTTTTTTTCCCTTAATTTTATTTGGTAATCTTCTTTTATTATGATTTCTCATCGTAATGATTCTATCTGATTTTCTTTGTGATTTCAGATTATTTTTCATGTTGTGAATTCGTTGATGTTGTAAAATGCAGATTAATGCCGCTGTTGCAATTGTACATAACATTCGTGGTTTGCCTCCACCAGAAGAGTTTGAGAAAAATCAGCCTTACGCCGATTTATTTGTCTTCCTACAGTGTGCATTTGGGTTCCAGGTACTCGTCTAGAACTTTGGAACTGTTCACTAGAAATAGCTAAGTAGTGAGCATTTCAATTGTGTTTGATATCCTTCAGGAAGGAAATGTTGCCAACCAGAGGGAGCATCTTATTCTACTCCTCAGTAACACCATTATACGTCAACCTCAGAAGCAATCTTCAGCCCCAAAGGTGCCAGAGCATTTATGTTATCAAATGGAATTGCTTAGACTTCCATACTTTTGAAAATGACATTAAGTTATTGTTGTAATCAGACAGGTGATGAGGCTGTCGATGCACTGATGAAGAAGTTCTTCAAGAACTACACAAACTGGTGCAAATTTCTCGGGAGAAAGAACAACATCAGGTAGCAATATTAATTTCCAGAATTCTTCCTCATCCATCCACATTTCATACTTTTTATGGCTTTCACATACATTTATTTCTAACCAGTTGCTATCAAAATTTACAGGTTACCGTATGTGAAAACAGAAGCACTACAATATAAAACACTTTACATAGGACTCTATCTTCTTATATGGGGAGAGGCTGCAAATCTGAGGTTCATGCCAGAGTGTTTGTGTTACATTTTCCACCATGTAAGTTCAATGAAATATGTTTATAGGTTATTAGTGCTTTTTCTGCTGACTCTCATGATGTTGACAATATTTCTGTTGATGCTAATTCAGATGGCATATGAACTTCATGGAATTTTAACCGGTGCCATTAGTATGATAACTGGGGAAAAGGTCAAACCAGCATATGGAAGAGGGCACAATTGTTTCCTTGACAAAGTAGTTACTCCGATATACACTGTTATAAAAAAGGTAGTTCACTTTCGGATGTAGCTTCTGGAGTAGCTCACAGACAAGTGTTTAACTGCAAAGAAAAAATCTGCAGGAAGCTGCCAAGAACAAGAATGGGACTACAGATCATTCTACTTGGAGAAACTATGATGATCTTAATGAGTACTTCTGGTCAGACCTTAAATTTTCAGCGTCTTGCATCCTTGGATCTCGTATCAGTATCTAAAGCCGTAGACATTGTTAATCATATCCGTTGCTCCTCCCAGGTCTCAAGAATGCTTTGAAATAGGTTGGCCAATGCGTGATGACCATGACTTCTTCTGTTTAGAATCTCCACCAAGAAGCAAACCAGCAAGATGCCGAGGAATTTTCAAATCTCTAAGGAAAACAAAGAAAACAGATGAGGAAGTTGAGGATGATGAAGAGCAAGGGGTACACATCCCTGAACTCATGGAAACTTTACTTGCCATGATTTCACATTTGCATGTGCACAATAAGTGACCTAAAGTATAATGCATGCTTACTCATCGATAGCCGCTTCATTTATGCCTTACCAGTATGGCGATCTTAGCTCATTGAGGAGAATAAGGAGCTTAATATATTGCTTATTTCTTATGTAAGCTCATGACTCAATTAAATCATAATTCACAACTACAAATATGAAACAAGATGTGTTCCAAATTTGGGCTCACTTTGCAATTGCATTGCCTTTGAAATTTTGGACTAGGAGCTCCACTTTGTATGTCTCCAGGACAATACAGAAAGATTTTCCTTGTGATGTGATGTTTTTCTTTTGCAGGTTCTTACTGAGGAACAAAAGGAACAAAAGGAGAAAAAGGAAGAAACCTGGCTTGGAAAGACAAATTTTGTAGAGATTCGTTCATTCTGGCAGATATTCCGGAGCTTCGACAGAATGTGGAGTTTCTTTCTTTTGTCACTACAGGTTCCACTTCTTCTGGTCTTTGACTTCTTTATCAAATCTATGCAGTTCATTTATTACTATATAATTCAATTCCTGTTTCAGGCGATGATAATTATGGCTTGCCACGATGTGGATTCTCCTTTTCAAGTGTTTGATGCTGTTATATTTGAAGATGTTATGAGCATTTTCATTACATCAGCCATTATTAAACTTATACAAGGTCTGAAACAGTTTTCCAAACAACGTTATATGGTAAGACTACTCTACTTATTGCTAACATGAATCTTTGGGTTGCAGCAATTCTTGACATAATCTTCACCTGGAAAGCAAGAAAAACCATGCAAATCTCCGAAAAGAAGAAACAAATGGTTAAGCTGGGTTTTGCGGTGGTGTGGACCATTATACTTCCAGTGCTTTACGCTCATTCAAGAAGGAAGTATATGTGCTATTTCACAAATTACAAAACTTTGCTTGGCGAATGGTGCTTTTCCCCCTATATGGTTGCAGTCACAATATACCTGACAGGAAATGCGATTGAGTTGGTATTGTTTTTGGTTCCTGCCATAAGCAAATATATTGAGATTTCCAATCACCGCATCTGCAAAACTTTGTCTTGGTGGGAACAGGTAATCAGTCTCAGAAACTCCATTTCATTTGTAGGACATTAATCCCTTGAGCTTTTCACATCCATTATTCCATTTCATGCTTGGAATCTCAAAGTTGCTCTTAACAATACACTCAATTACTTTGCAACCTGAAATATCCTTGACATGCAATCTTTTTGCAGCCCAGGATATATGTTGGGCGTGGAATGCAAGAAACTCAGGTGTCACAGTTCAAGTACGTCTTGTGTCACTTTTCTACTGCTTTATTATTGTTCAGTTCCATTTCTTCTTTCCCTGAGGTTTCAAGTTCACTTATTGTTCAGGTACACCCTTTTCTGGATTTTGGTTCTCCTGAGTAAATTTTTTTTCAGTTATGCATTTGAGGTAAGTAAAACCGAAGTTTTCCTGTAATTTTGGACAGTTATTATTCTGAGCAACCCGGTTTGCTTCTTGTTTACCTCTCTCCTACATTCTTTTTTTTTTTTGGCGAATGCAGATAAAGCCCCTGATAGAACCTACACGGATGATAATGAATGTTGGGGTGCGGAATTATGAGTGGCATGAAATTTTTCCAGAAGGTATACTCTAGTTATCTAAATTACTTGTAGTTACAACTATTTACCTTATTTTGAGGTCACTGATAGTATCTTCTTCTATAGTGAAGAGCAATGCTGCTGCGATTGTGGCCATATGGTCACCAATCATATTGGTGAGTACTCAATAAAGATCAGTGCAAAACCAACCCCCCATTGATATGACAACCCCATACATATTACGAGAAAATGAGTGCATTTGATAAACTGTTGAATTGCTACCAATTCGTGACGCTCAAGGATCAACTCTGATCTTTCAGGTCTACTTCATGGACACACAGATATGGTATTCAGTTTTTTGTACTATATTTGGCGGGCTGTATGGAATTCTGCATCACCTTGGGGAGGTATAATACATGTAATGTTGTTGTGTTTGTGATTGTATGCTTTTCCTGGTTGGATTGTTGCAGTTTCAGACCAACTTCTCTTTGCATAACTATTCAGATTCGGACTCTGGGAATGTTGAGAGGACGGTTTCACACTTTGCCTTCTGCATTCAATATTACTCTTATTCCACGTTCACCCAAAGATGAGAAAAACAGAAATCAGAGAGGCTTCTTCCCATTCAACATTGGCAGGGTAAGAAGTTATATGAGCAGCTCATTTATAAACACAAAATCAATCTAGTTTCTTATCGAAAAATTGGTGTCCTGTCTGTTCAGGTCCCCGAGGCCGAGAAGAATAGTATGGCGAAGTTTGTCTTGGTCTGGAACCAAATCATCAACAGTTTCAGATCAGAGGATCTGATAAGTAACAGGCAAAAGACTCTCTTTCTTGTATTGTCTGCACGTAAAGTTTGACTTATTCAAAGTAGTTTGCAAATCACTAAATATTTTCTCATCAGGGAGCTGGATTTGATGACAATGCCAATATCATCAGAGCTATTATCTGGGATGGTCCGTTGGCCCATGTTTCTCCTTGCAAACAAGGTAGTTTTCTTACGGACGTTCTTCACAATGTTTTATGAGTCTTTCAGTTTATCGGTAAATATAGCTGCCACATCTTACTAGTTTTCAACAGCTCTGAGCATTGCAAAAGATTTTGTTGGGAAGGATGAGGCTCTTTACAGAAGGATTAGGAAAGACGAATACATGTACTATGCAGTAAAAGAATGCTATGAATCCTTGAAGTACATTCTTCAGATTCTCGTTATTGGTGATCTTGAAAAAAAGTAAGTTGTTATTGCGCTCTCGTCTACTTTACACAGTTTCACTTCATCACAATTTGTATTCTCAATCTTGTTTTAGGGTTATATCTTGCATAATAAATGAAATAGAGGAAAGCATCAGACAATCAAGTTTGCTTGAGGATTTTAAAATGAGTGAGCTCCCAGCGTTGCATGAAAAATGTATTCAGCTGGTTCAACTTCTGGTAATCACCTTGCCATATGGTTATTAAATTCAGATTTTAGAGCAACAATCGTTCCCTTCTTATAGCATAGTCGGTGTCGGTCTAATGGTTTCAATTTATGCATTTCTTGTTCATTGTTTCCCAGGTTGAGGGAATCGACGACCAACATGATAAAGTTGTGAAGGTTCTTCAGGACATCTTTGAGCTGGTAACAAATGATATGATGATACACGGTGACAGGTCAGTGGGAACAGAAGTCAACAGGTTTCATTTCCTTTTTTAGACATCTCTTTGTGAAGGAATGAGCAATCTGTTTTTGCTTAATCTTGTTCTTGTCGTCTTCAGAATTTTGGATTTGCTAGATGATCGCCAAGAAACAGAGGAGGAAGATTTTTTTATGAGAATAATAGAACCACAGTTGTTTGAATCCTATGGAGAAAGGAAATGCATTCATTTTCCTCTGCCAGATAGTGCTTCTTTGAATGAACAGGTACCTGTCATTTTTTCTAGTATCACTTGTTGATCTGCATTCCACTAGAATTTCTCTTTTAATCATCGCTCAGATGCGTCGGTCCCACGAACATGCTGCAATGCCCTGATGTTTCTACCTTTTTTTGTGGCAGCTCCAACGTTTTCTTTTATTGTTAACTGTCAAAGATACTGCAATGGACATACCAGAGAACTTAGAAGCTCGGAGACGTATTTGTTTCTTTGCTACTTCACTTTTCATGGATATGCCAGCCGCTCCTAAAGTACGCAATATGCTGTCTTTCAGGTCCGCCTTTCCAACTTTCCCGTCTGAAGATTTACTGGACATCTAAAATGCTTTAAAAAAAATCCTGAATGAGTATCTGTTTTGATCTTATGACGTAAGGAATGACAATTTTTGTTGCAGTGTTATGACTCCACATTACCAAGAAGATATTAACTTTTCAATGAAGGAGCTGCATTCTAGCAAGTCTAGTGTGTCAATCATCTTTTATATGAAGAAAATATTTCCAGGTAAATCTTAGAACCTGGTCATTTTGACCACCAGTCTTGATTGCTCATGTTTCAGAGTTATGTATTTTGGCTGCCTGTCAGATGAGTGGAAAAACTTTCTTGAGCGAATGGGATGTGACAACTTGGATGCATTAAAAAATGAGGGTAAAGAAGAAGAGCTTCGGAAATGGGCGTCTTTTCGTGGACAAACATTAGGCAGAACGGGTGAGAAATGTTATCATATGTGCAACTTGCCAGATTGTCTTCTCATCTATCTTTTACATTGAGTTAAAAAAAAAATCATTTTATTCATGCATAACAGTTCGTGGTATGATGTATTACCGAGAAGCATTGAAATTACAGGCCTTCCTTGACATGGCAGATGATGAAGGTTCGCATTCTTTACTCTAGTCTATGTGCTTAACTCTTTCAGTTTAGTTGACATACCCTTGATGCATTTAGTCCTAGTTACTGAAAGATATTTTTCAAATGTGGATGATCGTTTTCTTGTGCAGATATTCTTGAAGGATATGACGATGTGGAAAGAAGTAACCGTGCTTTAGCGGGACAACTAGATGCATTAGCAGATATGAAATTCACATATGTCGTTTCTTGTCAAATGTTTGGAGCCCAAAAATCCTCTGGAGATCCCCATGCACAAGACATACTCGACCTGATGATAAAGTAAGTTTGTGTATACCAATAAAAAGCATATACGGCCAATAATCTTGGTTCGTTCTTTAGCCAAATCATGAATTTTTAACGGTATTACACACGAATGTTGCATTTAGGTACCCAGCTCTTCGTGTTGCATATGTTGAGGAGAGGGAAGAAATTGTGTTAAATAAACCAAAGCCAGAGAAGGTTTACTATTCTATATTGGTTAAAGCTGTCAATGGTCTTGATCAGGTATCAAATTTTTTCATATTTCTTATCAGTTCTTGAGAGTTTGATGTGCGATTAGAACTATACAATCTTCCCCATGTAGTAATGAACTTGGTTGTGGTCATTCAGGAAGTATATCGTATCAAACTTCCTGGAACCCCAAACATTGGAGAGGGGAAGCCTGAAAATCAAAATCATGCAATAATTTTCACGCGTGGTGAAGCACTTCAGACTATTGATATGAACCAAGTACGCTTTTGCCACTTTGGCTTTTTGTACTTTGCGTATGAACAAAATTTGGTTCTGAAACTTCTCTAATATTCCCAGGATAACTATCTGGAGGAGGCTTTCAAAATGAGAAATCTTCTTCAAGAATTTCTTCGCAAGCGTGGAAGAAAACCTCCGAGAATTCTTGGGTTAAGGGAACACATATTCACTGGCAGGTTAGCTCCTAGCATGTATTCCACAGCCTTTTCCGTATAATCCACAGCAGTAATGTGGAGGGTTTGTGTTGTGTCAAACCATAAGCTAAGAATTTATGATTCTCTGATATTGCAGTGTTTCTTCTCTAGCGTGGTTCATGTCATATCAAGAGACCAGCTTTGTTACGATCGGGCAGAGACTTCTTGCTAATCCTCTGAGGCAAGAATTCTTATTCTCAACACCTACAAAATCACGGTGCTGAGGCCATTAACCACATGGTTTCTATCGTTTCCATTGATACACAGGGTACGTTTTCACTACGGGCATCCTGATGTCTTCGATAGGATATTTCACATAACAAGGGGTGGTGTGAGCAAAGCATCAAAGACCATTAATTTAACAGAGGATGTTTTTGCTGGTAAAGATTCATTCTTTACTGGAAATTTTCTTTATCAGCAATCACCAAGAGTTTTTGTTTGGTAAACTCAAGAGTTATTGTTGCTTACGTCGTTCTTGATGTCCTTTAGGATTCAATACCACCTTACGACGGGGATGCATAACGTACCATGAATACCTCCAAGTTGGAAAAGGTCGTGATGTTGGCCTAAACCAGATTTCAAAGTTTGAAGCCAAGGTAGCCAACGGAAACAGCGAGCAAACATTAAGCCGTGACATTTACCGTTTAGGACAACGGTTTGATTTCTTCAGAATGCTGTCCTGCTATTTCACAACAATTGGGTTTTACTTCAGTAGCATGGTAATGTACAAAAAAACTTCTCTGACTCATCAATTTTCAGGTTTCAGTTGTGGCGTGAGCTCTGATATCCACTGAACTTTTGTACAGATTTCAGTGCTGGGGATATATATTTATCTATATGGGCAACTATACCTCGTTCTCAGCGGGCTGCAGAAAACACTTATCCTCGAAGCCAAAGTGAAAAACATAAAATCATTGGAAACAGCCCTTGCTTCCCAGTCATTTATCCAGTTAGGTCTTTTGACCGGCTTACCGATGGTGATGGAGATTGCATTGGAGAAAGGATTTCTCACAGCCCTTCAAGACTTCATCCTCATGCAACTTCAGCTTGCTGCATTCTTCTTCACTTTCTCCCTAGGAACAAAAACACATTACTATGGCAGAACTATTCTACATGGAGGTGCCAAATACAGACCAACTGGGCGTAAGGTCGTGGTGTTTCATGCCAGCTTCAGCGAAAACTACAGATTATATTCCCGAAGCCATTTCGTCAAAGGGTTCGAGCTCATCATTCTTCTGATTGTCTATGAGTTGTTCAAGCGTACTTCTCAAAGCAACATGGCTTTCGCTTTGATCACCTACTCGGTGTGGTTCATGTCTCTCACTTGGCTATGCGCCCCGTTTCTTTTCAACCCTTCTGGATTTTCCTGGGAGAGAATAGTCGATGACTGGAAAGATTGGAACAAGTGGATTAAAGAGCAAGGCGGGATAGGAATTCAACAAGACAAGAGTTGGCAATCGTGGTGGAATGATGAGCAAGCCCATCTCCGGGGCTCTGGTTTAGGGGCTCGCTTGTTGGAGATATTTCTGTCTCTCAGGTTCTTCTTATACCAATATGGTTTGGTTTATCACCTTGACATCACCCAAAGCAACACCAATATCATAGTCTATGCACTTTCCTGGGTCGTGATCATTGCCACATTTCTCACTGTCAAGGTAATCCTTTTACTACTATAATTTTTCCCCAAATCCTAAAGAAAAACCAAATCTGAGACAGAGAAATTACAGTAAAAAACTTTTAAAACTCACAAGATGTTTTCTTGTCACCAGAGAGAGTTCTCATCGATCTTCGCTTTTTGCAGGCCGTGGCGCTCGGGAGGCAACTCTTCAGCACAAGAAAACATCTTGTTTTCCGGTTCTTCAAAGTGTTTATTTTCCTGAGTATTCTAGCCATCATAATTACACTATCCAGAATCTGTCACCTTTCTCTGAAAGACCTTGTTGTCTGCTGCTTAGCCTTCTTGCCCACTGGTTGGGGCTTGATTCTGGTACATGTTCCACAAACCATGTCAAAGACAGTTCCTGTCAGGACCAGACAATAAATCTTGCTTTCTTCTCATATGTTCCACGTTTCCTGTCAGGCCCAGACAATAAATCTTGCTTTCTTCTCATATGTTCCACGTTTGTTGCAGATCGCACAAGCGGTTAGGCCAAAGATAGAGGACACTGGCTTGTGGGAGTTCACTCGGGTTCTCGCCCGGGCATACGATTATGGAATGGGGGTTGTTCTGTTTGCTCCAGTGGCTATTCTTGCATGGCTTCCTATCATTTCCGCTTTCCAGACACGGTTTCTCTTCAACGAAGCATTCAACAGAAGACTGCAAATTCAACCGATTCTTGAAAGGAAGAAGAAGAATAGATGAAGTCACTGTTCTTTCTTCTTTCTGCTACGTTTTTTGCTTGTACAGTAGTGACTACTTCATTTGCCTTTGCTCTGTACAAAAAGCCGATTCATAGAAACTCTGATTTCATAATAACAAGCATTAAAATTTAAATCTGATATAAATTGTTGGCGACCCTTTGTCCAAGTTCATGTCTTCAACTTTTGGAAAAAGTAACTTCACATATTACATCCATTTGAATAAATATATGTAATATTTTGGAATTCTAGAGAGAGAGAGAGGATGCTTCCTCGTAGGATTGTTCTGTCTGCTTCTGCCGTTCGATTTCTGTCATCTTCCCATCGGATTCCATCGTCTCAACGATTTCCCGGCGACGACAATCTCTCCAGGCTGAGTCACAAGGACTGGCTGGCGCCGAACGAGGTTTTGAAAATCTTCGACAATGTCAAAGATCCGAGCTTTCTCATGCCCGCGTACGAACATTACTCGAGACGGAAAGATTATCAACCGACAGAATCTCTCTATACCCTTTTGATAAACAAGCTGGGGCAAGCTAGGATGTTCGACGAAATCGAAGAGATCATGAAAAGTTTGAAGCTTGAGAAGCGATGCCGTTTGTCTGAGGAGTTCTTCTACAATGTAATGAGGGTTTATGGGAATTTAGCCGGTCGAATCAAACGAGCAATCGAGATTTTGTTTGATATGCCGGAATTTGGGTGTTGGCCAAGTGCCAAAAGTTTCAACTTTGTTTTGAATCTTCTTGTTTCAGCGAAGCTGTTCGATGTTGTTCATGAGATCTTCATGAGTGCTCCCAAGTTGGGTGTTGAGATCGATGCTTGTTGTTTGAATATACTCATCAAAGGGTTGTGTGAGAGTGGGGATATGGATGCTGCACTCCAACTGCTCGACGAATTTCCTAAGCAGAACTCACGGCCTAATGTGATGACGTTTTCGCCATTGATCCGAGCTTTCTGCCTTCGGGGGAAGTTCGAGGAAGCTTTCAAGTTGATGGAGAGAATGGAGAAGGAAGGAATCGAACCTGACGCAATCACGTTCAACATTTTGATATCGGGTCTGAGGAAGAAAGGTAGGGTTGAAGAAGGGATTGAACTCTTGGAGAAGATGAAGTTGAAGGGATGTGAACCTAATCCCGGGTCGTATCAGGAGGTTCTATATGGTCTTTTGGACAAAAACAGGATCTTGGAAGCCAACAAGATGATGGGTCAGATGATTTCATGGGGCATGAGACCGAGTTTCGCATCTTACAAGAAGATGATTCAGGGGCTATGCCAAGAGGAGGCGATCTCAGAAATGGAGTGGGTTTTGAGGCAAATGGTGAAGCAAGGCTTTGTCCCGAAAACAGGGATGTGGTGGAAGATTCTTCAGTCTGTAGTTTCTGAGAAGAATCATCCTCATGTGAATTTGGATCACATAATTGATAGCTAAAGAAACCTCTGTTTAGCAATGAGCACGAGTTCTTGAGTGTAATGATGTATTCTTTGATCAGAGAGACATAAACAAGCTTTTGTCCACAGACTCCACACGAGCTTTTCTTCCGGAATTCTACGTGAGCTCTAACGAAGGAACCAGAAAATGAAGCAGGAACAACGAGAAGGACCAAGCCTTTGTCCTAAGATCTGTACAAGGATTCCAAAAATCTTGTAACAAACATAAAGCTATATTAGCTTACATCCCAACCTATGCTTGATTATCTATACATGGTCACTTTTCACTTTGAGATGTTTCCCTTTCATTCTCTTCAACGCTTTTAGGCGTGTCGGCTTTCTCTTCGCCAACCGAGATGTTCCTGTCAGCGATATCTGTGGATTTCAAGTCTTCTACTTGTATTTTCTCTTCTTTCACTACACTATTGGCTGAAATGTTTGGAACGGCACTTGTATCTGTCTTCTGGTTGGAAGATGGCTCTACATGATCACTTTCGCCTGTACTGATAGTATTTTCGGCTTGTGTTCTTGGTGTTCCAAGGTCCTGTAAGCAGTCAGCTGCAGATACATCATTGGAAAATTCAGATTCAGAATCAGACTCAGTCTCAGATTCGGGGACAATATCTTGCTCTACCACTGTTAAGCCGCCATCTCTGGATTTCCTTGATCCTTTACGTGAAAAGGCATGCTTTATGTGCCTTGTAGACTTCTCAGCATGTTTCAGTAAGCTCTTGGCGACATCTTTCATGTGTCCCTTGTGTTGATTATTGTCTGGCAAACTCCCGTCTGGACTCAGAGCTCCGCCTTTCGGTGTCCTGCTCGAAAGGGGGCCCGAGAGGCTGTCTTCAACGATGAACCTTACCCCAATACCCTTTTGATTCACTGCCTTCAGGTTGATACGGGGAGATTGAAAATCCTCCTCTACGTTTCCGATATGACCTTCCTCCTTTTTGCTGTTCCTGTTAAACATTAAACCAATTCTCTTCAAGCCCCGACCAACAGACTTTATCGGGTTCTTCGAATCCCGATTTTCGTCAGAGTTGCTGCTTTCGTTGTTGGGTGACCCAGACTTGGTTGAATGGGTGCTTCCACCAGTATCGTTAGGAACTCTCTTTATCTGATTATCGAGGCGTCTGTCCTTTCCTTTCCTCGGCTCCCAAATCTGTGAGACTTCACTTCCCGGTTGATGAATCCAGATTCCAGTCTCTTCTTGCCCTTCAATGTTAATTGGCTCCATATTATCTGGAACCCTTGGGGACTTGTCAGATACCACCGACGAGAAGGAGCCTTTATTCGTAGAATCGGAGGCAAAGGAATTTCGTATGTCTTCCTTGTCGATTGAAGCTTCATCAAAGCAATCATCTTTCCACTGTTGAAAGGATCATCAAAAGTCACGTAAAAAGGATTCTAACATCGTGTTTTCGAAAGGGTAAATAACGATATTTTACCTTTGCATTGTCCTCAAGCACGGTTATAGCGAGATGCAGCCTCCCGGTTTTAATGTTCTTAAGAGGTAACCACATATCATGTCTTTGACCACTTCTAACCTCCGCAATGTTTATTGAACATTCTCTGCAGAGTAAAAATCAAATCCGAAAAAAAGAAACTATGAGGAGACAGAACACGAAAAATCTACACAGAACCATCGGAATTAGGGTTTAGGTTACGGAGTAAAACCCGAGGGTGTCATCAACAAATCTGTCCTTGTCCACAACTTCAATGTTAAGTATGTTCTGACAGTCCCATGTACATATCGGTATCTTGAACTCTTCATGCCATTTGGGAGAGAGTGTTTTCTTCTGAATCTTGGTTTTGAACTGATATTTCCCAAGCTGTCCTTTCACATAAGGATCTGCCAAACCTGAACCACAACATCACAGAGAGAAATCTCATTCATACGAAATCGGTTTCTTTGAAAGTAGAGAACTAACCATTCAATTCAAGAGATAATCATAACACTAACCATTCAGATCCGACGGTTTAATATCGGATGCTTCAACGACTTCAACTAAGGCATGTGCCACAGGTTCTTTCTCGTCGACAAAAAACCAATTTTCTGGAACCAAACATGTAGCAAGCATTTTGTCTCGTCATATTGGACTGATCATAGATTACGAACAAACATGAAATAGAAGCCAAGGGCTCGAACGTTCTGCAATAGTTACCTGACTGAGGGCTAACAAATTTCTCCATATCAACAACCAGCATATTTGGCTGTTAACGAAATCATTGCAAGAGAAAAAGAACAAAAAAACATTAGTAAAACGAGGTCCTTTAGACGGGAGCCATCGTGTGCTCGGACATAAGTCTATAGAGAATAATAGATATAATCACAAGTCGAAAAGTTTGACCTCAACAAGGGTCTGCTCAAATGCGATAGAGAGAAGTTTGTCCTGAGAGAAGAAGGAGAGAAATGAAATGAGTGTTATAAAGGAAGCAGAATTTCCGAGATATTTTCTGAATATCATCAACCTTCGGTTACTTACAAGCCATCCTGCAATCCCGGGAAGCACTGCAACGTCAAGTCCATGAGTGAAGATCGGTTTCACGGTCATTTGGAAATAGGGCGGCTCTGCAAAACAAACACGTAAACGCCCCAAGAAAGGCCACCTCCGGAGAAACTTCACTCCGACCAACACCTTCATCAAATATTTTTTGCAGAAAATGCAGGAAAAAAAAGAAAAGAATAAGCCTACCAAGTTGCAGAAAAACACGTAAAATGCTTATATAAATCGCGGGTAGGATGATAGGTTCGCTACCTTTCCTTCGACGTGCATTCCTGTCAAATGTAACTTCGCCCACATCCCGAATCCAAGTCTTTTTCTCAATTTCACAGCAAGTATCGCACTCATATCATCAGCTGTGAGAAAATTCATTCCAAGTTCCAGGACCTGCATAATATACTCCAAGCGTAACTTCTTCTTCCGACTTTCAGATATTTTAAGAGGGCGTTAGGACAAAAGCTGAAGTGTTACAAAATATACCAAGTGATCATCACCCGTAGACTGGCGAAGGACCCTTATGTCGGTCAACATAGGCGGGTTTCTTCCCAAATAGAGGTGCTGCACTATCGCCTTTTTCTGCACATGCACCATAGAGAACAATGGTTTTGTCACTAATCAAAAGTCCTTTCTTTGGAATGTGAATCAAGTTTCTGATAAACTAAGATGCATAGTAATCTCCTAAAGATCGACATGTGCCTCAAAATGGCCGATTCGATACTCAACCAAAAAAGATGAACCGAAAAGGAAAATCTCGGCGGATTCATACCGCTGTCCAAGGTCTATACTTCTCCAAGAACCAAGGTATTATGGGGAGAAGAATCTTCTGAGACGCAATCTGTTCCATACATATAGGCCATATCTTCTCCATAGCATGATTCAACCATCTGACTGTTTCAGAATCCGATAGAACCTGAAAGATGAAAGGAATTGAAAAGGATAAACAAGAGCGAAGCAAGTTCCTTTATACGTGACTAAGTTAATGTCCTTCCTTTGAGCCAAGAAAAGTCAGGGCAATGAAGCACAGGATTACAACCAAAAGGTACAATCGTAAAGAACAATATATGTATATTAGCTTTTAGTTCAACAAAAGAGATCATTGCAAAGCGAAAAGCAATAAAATTTCAACACTTTGTATAGACTGATCTCTCAGCGACTACTAAAGTTCGAACCTTGAAGTATTCGTAAGTGACACTGACCAAATATCTTCAAGATCAAACCAGAAATTGGGTTGAACAGATAAATCTTAAAAATTGAATCTTTCCACTTAAAGATGAAAACTTTGAAGTAAAATTACCCTTCTCTGGTTAGATTGCTTCCTCTCTTCAAACTGCAATTTCCTCCTCAATCTCATAACATACCTTTCATGAACCTAAACAAACCAACAAAAGCCACCAAATTAATCAACAATCCATGAAACAAAGTCCATTAAATTTAGGCAAACAGCCAAGAGGGAGCAGAACATTACCAGGTAGAGATAAATCAGAGCGAGGAAATAGAAAACGGCATGGGATCGATTCAGGGAGGAGAGAAGCCAGAGGAAAAGCAACACAATCACCACGTGATGGATCAGCGAGGACTCCATTGCAGTCGTAACAATCTCGTCACTTGATCGAAATCGGTCAAACCCAGAAGAGAGAGAGGAGCAAGAAATCGAAGGATCCCTACTTTTCGCCGAAAGATAAAATACCCAACTCAGAAAACGTTCGAAACCGATTCGGAACTTGACGAGTTATGACGGAAGATGGAGAGTAAAAGAAACACCGCTGAAGAAGAAAACAACTGTTGCCAAATACAACGATCAGCGAACCGCCATTTCCTTTTCTGGGTATTATGCTTCCCAAAGGGATATAAACAAGAATTTGCACTGGATCATTTTTTTCCCCGTCGATGAATCTGTGATTTGTCTCGTTTTCAAAAAAACAAAAATTGAGATTGTCTCCGTGTCTCTTCCTGAAAACGGCGTCGTGTTGGCGCAGTCAAAGAACCGTGGAATCAGTTTTATATTTTCAAACATTAAAAATAAATTAACGTGAGAGCCAGGGCATTCGAAACATAACTCTCGTCGGAACAACTCCGAGGAACACAAAAACACGAAGGAAAACTCCAAGAGACGAGAAGCGCGTTGGGGGAACGTGGGACCCACTAAGAGTTCGTTGGGTCAGTCAAACGATCTGGACCGTTGGTTAAGGTCGGTCAATGAGACGGACGCCTACGATTTCTTGACAGTATCATATGATTTTTTTTGTAAACGACAGTTTCATATATTACTATTATTGCATAGTTTAATGTGATTGGGGTAAGATATGATTGTGATAGTGAAATGATTTACAGAAACTGTAAAATTTGAATTGAATCTAATCAAGAAAAAAAATTAATAAAAAAATTAATAATCGGAAAATATGAGATACTATTAAATGGCGAAATTGCACTTTAGAAATCAAAGAATTTTCATGTCGATGGGAACCTGTCGTCGTCATCCGTAAGGTACGCTGTCAATTTCCGGACAAAAATCATTCGCTCGTCGGCAACACCTTTTTTATTTTCTTAAATGTTTTTTATTCATTTCATTTGGGCCATTTGGAGCATATTAGTCTAGCCCATTATCTTTTCAAGGCCCATATAATCAATCACTAAGGCCCAATATTACAACCGAATTCCAACCGTTGCATCATCTTTCATCCGACGGATAAAAAAGAGACACGTGTGTAGGCTCTGTCACGTATAATTACTAATTAGACCTCTCTCTTCCGTGTTGAACTCCACGTCTTGTTGACTTTAGTACTGACCGGTTGAGAAGTTGCTTTTGGTAGCGATTGCGGGTGGGTGCAGTTAGAAGTGAATGGTTCATTATGGTTGCGGTTACGTTTTGATATAAATTGTCAAAAAAAAATTATTTAAAAATAATTTTTTATAATAGTTTTAATTAAATTTTTCGTATTATTCTATTTTGAGTAAAAAAATAATTTTATTATAAAAATTATTAAAAATAATCATTATTAGACTTAAAAATTATACTATTGTATTTTTTTTATTAAAATATAATACTAAAAAATAATATCAAATCATAACACTAAACAAAATCATCACCAATATATATATTAATGTTTTATATAATTTCTAATAAAAATATTTTAGTTTTTTTGTTAAAACGCCGGAAACCGCTACCAAAACGCAAGTTGGAAACTGCGATTACAAAACACAAGTTTGGTTGCGGTTGGTTGCGGTTCAACCAGTCAGTTTTTCAATCGTCCGCAACCGCCGAAAATCGCAACCGCTCCGTTTGCAGGTGGTGGCAACCAGTCGCCCCCTTTGCGTTCTCGTCTTTGTTTTTCGCTCTCGGTGGTATTTATCCTTTTCGCTTCTTTAGCCGTCGGTTTCGTGAATCTCATCATCAAATCATTCACCGTACCGATTGTGGGCCCTGCATGCTGACGTGGACCCCTTACATCTAGGGAAACGTGGAACACGACAGCCGCAGATAAGCGTGAAACAAAGGATTAACATCTCCAACGATGGCGACTATATCTGCACGATTGCGACCTTTTCTTGTAACCAGGAATCTCTCTTGTCTCGTCTCCTTTAAATCCTCTCTTCTTCCTCTGATCAGAACTCGGTCGTTTCGTGCATCAATGGCTTCGTCTTCTCCCTCCTATTCGACGTCGTCTTCCTCCTCATCGAAGCTTCTCTTTCGTCAGCTCTTCGAGAAGGAGTCCTCGACATATACGTATCTTCTCGCCGACGTGTCTCATCCCGATAAACCTGCTGTGGTAAGCGTAAAGTTTTGATTTTGAGATATGGGTTTTGAGATTTCAGGCGGTGGTACTGGATATTTAGGTTTACATTTGTGTATCTGATATTGATATGCATGTATGGATTTAAGGGCAATGATGAAACTTTGAGCTGGATGATGCGTCTGTGAAACATTTGAATTGTTGGATTTACAAACATTGGACGGGATCTGATCAGATTTTGATGAACTTTGGCTCATACTATTGGTTTTAAGGGTATAATCTTAGCTTTTTTCGTGATTATTCTTGTGTATGTGAGTGGTTGATTGATCAACTAGACGATATTGTCTGTGCAAGTGGTTTGATCATTGGAATGAACATAGTAGCAGTTGATCATCTGGATTATATATACATTCTTGAGGATCATTTGATTTGAAATCATGTCAATTTTGCGCATATTATTGCTACCAATACAGCAGCAGTTTCCTCGTCTTGCTGAAAAGGCTACTGATAAAATCTTGGTCATCTAACTGATAGTGATTGATTTGATTTGGTCAAGATGATCACTTTGCAATCAATAAATAGGGTGTGTTAACTTTGATCATCTATGAATCTTGGATCTGTTCTTGATTGTACTGTATGTATGCGCAGTTGATCGATCCGGTGGACAAGACTGTGGATAGAGACTTGGGTCTGATCAATGATCTCGGCTTAAAGCTTATCTATGCCATGAACACCCATGTTCACGCCGATCATGTTACTGGAACTGGGCTCATTAAGGTTTGTTTCTTTGGTTTTCATTGATAACTGGTTATGTTTCTTCTTTTCTGGTTTAGCTTTCGATTAAATTTCATTCGATAGTAATTGATCAAAGTCTCAGGCAAGTTCAAGACTTTCTACCATTGATTGAACATTGGCCGGTTTTCGTATTTCTGTACAGTCCAAGGTTCCTGGCGTAAAATCTCTTATTTCGAAAGCAAGTGGTTCCAAGGCTGACAAGTTTCTTGAACCTGGGGACAAAGTGTCTTTCGGTGGTCTGTTCCTCGAGGTAACTATATGGTTGATGGTTCATCTCTGTATCATAATGAAGAAGGAAAACTTCCTCAAACAGAGAGCTTTGCTCCGAGGAAAATGAAAAAGTTAGGAGAATTGTATGGAGAAGGTTCTCGATCATATACTTAACCAAATTCGGTATCACAGGTTCGTGCCACACCTGGCCATACCATAGGATGTGTTACTTATGTGACTGGAGACGGGGAGGAACAGCCCAACCCGAGGATGGCTTTCACGGGTGATGCTTTACTGATTCGTGGATGTGGAAGGACAGATTTTCAGGTACACAATAATAATTTCAGCATCTTTTCCCAGAATCAACAATGAATCTATTTTCTTGATATGCTGTTCTTTGTTGTGGTAGGGTGGAAGCTCGGAGCAACTCTACGAGTCTGTTCACTCACAGGTAACTCTACATTTCTTCAAAGTTACTTGAATTGCCATTTATGGTTTTCGTTAACGATTATTGACTATATAATTCAATACAGATATTTACATTGCCCAAGGATACACTGATCTACCCGGCTCATGACTACAAAGGTTTCTCGGTAATGAAATGATATTCTTTACACATTCTTATAACAGTCCAAGGAGAAAGAGACGTTATTGCTCTTTTGCTTATTGTGCAAATTTACTAATCTTCAGGTTAGCACCGTCAGAGAAGAGATGCAATACAACCCGCGACTAACGAAAGACAAGGTAATATCACTACTAGCTCTCACTCGGTTATCAGACATGCATATATATCCTGCGTTTAACCCCTAAACCCGTCTTTCTTTTTCGTTGTACCGTGCAGGAAACGTTCAAAAACATAATGGCAAGTAAGTATCGATTCTTGGTTATCTCTCTTTTGCTCCCGAGTATCTCGATCTCTTATTAGCGGATAAAACCCGAGTCTCATCTTCTCCAAATGGATTATACAGATCTGAATCTGGCGTACCCGAAGATGATTGATATCGCTGTTCCGGCAAACATGGTATGTGGGTTACAAGAAGATCAGGATCTGCCTTCCAAAGCCAACTGAACTTTCTTTCAGCGACCGTCCCGAGTTTTTATTTAAAGAAAATGAAAAACGGGAATACAAGTTTTATGGATCTCTTGAGGATTCTACGTTTTAGGTGGAAACACGATTTAGGAGTATTGTTTGAAAACAATGGAAGATTCTGAATAAGAGTATGTTTATTTTATTACATTATTGGTTAAATGTCGTTGAAAAGTGCTTATACTTTGTGCTCTTGACTTGGTCGCTGAGTGTTGGGCTCAACAAACGCATTTAGTGAAAGATTTGGGTTCCCGAAATATCTGATTGGGAAGATTATTTTGTATTCTGTAATGTATGATTTACTTAAACATTAGAAAAGGAACAAACTTAGCAAGGGCATTCCCCATTGATTGAGACGGATCATTATAAAAAATATCCTCTATCTCTGTATGCTATTTTGACTTTAATTTATATTTTTCCTGTATTAAAAAAATGGTTAAATGAATAATCAAATTTTCTTGGGAAACCGTGTGATGTGGGATGGTGAGAACCAATCAGCAGCCACGTGCTAATGACAACGAAACCTCACACCCCCTCACCTTCATCATCATCCAAAAATCAAACTTGAAAAGAAAACTTGAAGCATAGATCGTGTAAAGATACAGCAACTTTCAACACCCTTGTCTTGTTCGGACAAAGAAGAAGAAGAAGAAGATGAGCGGCGAAGAATTCAACAAAAACAGAGAAGCGGTGGTGGAACATCATCATCACCAGCCTCACCAGCCTCCTCCGCCGCAGTACGGCACGATCCAAGAAGCCTCAAGTTATCCTCCGCCGCCGCAATACAACGAAAACAGAGAAGCGGTGGTGGAACATCGCCATCACCAGCCTCCGCCGCAGTACGGCACGTTCCAAGAAGTCTCAAGTTATCCTCCTCCGCCACCGGTCACCGGATTCCCCCAGCCGGCGCCGCCTCCGGGGGCCTACTACGATCCTTCGAAACAGCAACAGTACGCCCATGGTTACCAAACCGTCCCTGGTAAGTTCATGTGAGATCATTGGTACCGGAGCTTGATTTCGATTTTGCCGATCAATAGGAGCAATTTTTGACGATTTTTTACCACCCTTTTGGAGGGTTTCCTTGATTTGTTCGAGTTCACCGGAAAGTTTTGCGTTTTGCTCTTTCGTGAGTTCCTCGAGTTGATTTGTACGGTAAAACTGCGGTTTTTGCTGTCGGAGCATTGGTACCTGAGCTTGATTTCGATCTTTGCCGAAAAGAAGGCTAGATTTTTTGTCTGTTTTTTGACGACCCTTTTCAGATTTATGCTTGATTTGTTCAAGTTCATTTGGAAGTTTTGATCTTTTGTTAAAGTTACCCAAAAAGTATTCGAATTTCAAGCTTATGTTCATGCTACAGATCGTCGGTTGTGAAGTGATGGTGTGTTAGATCTGTTGTCTTTGAACCTGAAACGTATAATACAGCCTTCCGGAGAATCTGTTGCCTCTGTTTCTTATCCTATCTAGGCGAATTTGACATCTTTGCCAGAAATTGAGATGCTAGATCCACTTGTCTTTACGGATGTTAGATCCTTTCAGACTTTAGGCAATTATAGTGACTTGATAAGGGAATCATTAGTTCTCCAGCTATGCAATTTATGATGTGATCAAGACCAAGTTAATGTTTAGCAACACTCTTGAATCCTGGTAAGGGGAGTCATATAGCCTTGAACTGATCTAGCTGGATCATCGTAAATGGTAATAATGTACCTCTTCTTGTTCACGTTAATCGGAAAATTTTTGTGGGTATAAAGGGATTTAGTTTGCAATGCAGATCAAAATCCGTGTCTGAGAGTAACCTGGTCTTAGAAAAAGGTTAAGGATCGCCTTTTTCTGTAAGAAAGTGTCATTCCAGCTTATGAAAAAGCTTGTGTTGTGCCTCAACTTGGTCGGTTAGGTTGCATAGATTATAAAGCTAACTTGAACGGTACCATAACCGTCGTAGGTTATGCCGTTGCTGAAGGAAGACCGCCAAGGGAACGTCGCCTTCCATGCTGTGGCATAGGCACTGGCTGGTTCTGGTAAGTTATTACCTTAAATTGCGTATAGAGTTTAGGGGAAAACCTTTTTCGGGGATTCTGTATTGACTGAAAACCCGAGATCTTATGGTAATTGTTGAAGTTTTATCATCGGTTTCATCCTTGGAGCAATCCCCTGGTACATCGGGTCATTCATTCTGCTCTGTGCAAGGATAGATCCCCGAGAAAAACCCGGTTACATAGCTTGCACCATCGCGGTTAGTCCATATTCCTTGCTCTTAACATCGGGTTTTATCTTTTGCCCACTCGGTATTTCTTCTGATCGATCCGTTTTTAACAGGCTGTTCTTGCTACAATTGCCATCATTTTCGGAGTCACCGAAGGAACTGACGCCTGGTAGAATCAAATCTCCTCCTGGACAGAACACAACAGGGAAGAAGACATGTTGTATTTCTTGTTGTATAATCTGTATCTGTGTCTTTATTTGGTGGAGACCACAAACACACGATAAACAGAAGGGTCTGAAGACCTATGCTTTGATTGAACTGTATTATCTATGTATGTTGTCATGTCATGTTGAAGAAAAACAAAGGGCATAAAACCATGTAAAAGTTTCTCCCGAGAGTGTATGTTGTCCTTGGTTCTATATTTATAATATTAATTTATTATTTTAAAATCATTAATTATACTTTTCAGAGTTCTTGTTTTTAGAAAACAAAAGGCTTTACGGCCCATTTAAGCCCAAACAGGCCCATTAAAACTGAAGTTCCCAAGCCTAGGGTTTTCTTACATTCATACTTGTCATCGGCTCCACTACTTGCTCTTGGTTCGGATTCCGTTCTCTGGCGGCCTCGTCGGAGCTTGAACTCTCTGCAGAAATGGTTGCTTTCAGGGTAAGTTTCTTCTTCCATGTCGCGTCTGTTTGTTCCTTAATTTCCTTCTCTGCGGAACCTGTAAAAAAATGTAAAGCTTCTGAAGGTTTGGGTTTTGCCGAGTGGGCATTGCGAGAGTGCAAGAGTTTGAATCTCTATCACTGGTCTTGTACATAATTTTTTTGGAGAATTATGAGATTGGATGCTGGTTCGATCTCGATAATGTATCTTTAGGAACGATAACCGATTGGTTGTGTTCGTTTCATAATCGGTTTTGATGCCTTCGAGGTTCTGCGATTTCTTCAATGAGTTTCTTCGGCTACGAATTTGGTTCTCTCCTGTCCAGATGCATCTTTTACAAATAAAGATTATCGTAATTCTCTTACATGCTCAAATGCATTGATTTGTTCATACTTTGGGCAGTTTCACCAGTATCAGGTGGTTGGCAGAGCCCTGCCGACAGAAACTGATGAACATCCTAAGATCTACAGGATGAAACTATGGGCGACAAACGAGGTTCGTGCCAAGTCTAAGTTTTGGTGAGTAATGGCAAAGCCAATGTATCAATGATTCTGTCAATCTTGTAGGGTTTACTTGTAAATTGCTCAACCATGTGAATGAGGCTTTCTCTTCTGCTTGGTGATCTTGTAAAGTGAAATTATGGTTCCATTCTCTTTTTGCGTAGGTATTTCCTTAGAAAACTGAAGAAAGTTAAGAAAAGCAATGGACAGATGCTTGCCATCAACGAGGTCTCTGCCTTCTTCTCCCTCCATTCATTCGTTCTAAGTTGCTGAGAAGATGGGTTCTTGCCAGGCATTGTTAGTCTTCTGACATGGATTATCGATTTCGTTCATCGCTGCTGAAAAAGGTTTGATCTTGCAGATTTTCGAGAAGAACCCTACAAAAATCAGGAACTACGGGATCTGGCTGCGTTACCAGAGCCGAACAGGGTATCACAACATGTACAAGGAGTACCGTGATACCACGCTTAACGGGTCGGTGGAGCAGATGTACACCGAGATGGCTTCTCGCCACCGAGTGAGATTCCCCTGTGTTCAGATCATCAAGACGGCAACTGTCCCGGCCAAGCTCTGCAAGCGGGAGAGTACAAAGCAGTTTCATAATTCCAAAATCAAGTTCCCTCTTGTTTACAGGAAGGTCAGGCCACCCACTAGGAAGCTCAAGACGACGTTCAAGGCGTCAAAGCCTAACCTCTTCATGTAGAACCTTGTTCTCCGATTAGGGTTCTTGTTCTTACACTGAAAACTACACGTTCTTGTTCTGTTCAAGTTGGTAAAAAGATTTCTCCTCTTTTCTTAAATACGAGATCTAAGTCTCCCCCCTTTTCGCAATTTCCAAGTGCTTATGGTTATTTCTGTGATTCTTCTACAAAGAGTGGTTGTTGCGAACAGAAGAAAGACATTTCCATAAACTATAATGCCAAAATCGAAATGTTACGTCTGGTGAAATAACTTGGCTCTTATTAGCAAATATTCAACGAACGCACGAAAGAAATCAGCGACTGCGTTTGCGTCTGCGATCGCCGCAACAGTGATATGGAAGGTTCTGCGTTGGGTCTGGGTGAAACCAAAGAGGCTGGAGGCGCATCTGAAAGGACCAGGCATCTCTGGAACTCCTTACACGCTTCTTGTTGGAGATGTCGTAAGAGGACTCCGAATGTTGGAGGAGGCAACCTCGGAACTTGTCAGTCTAGCCGAAGATTTCACGCCACGTGTCGCACCCCTGCTCGTCGAAACTTTGAAGAATCATGGTCCGTTTTTGCATTCATCTCAAATTAAGATACGAATTCTAGAAGATTACTATATGGTAATGGGTGCAGGGAGGCCTTCGTTCATGTGGAACGGACCGACGCCGATATTGATCGTAACGAAACCAGAGCACATAAAAGAAGTGTTGACCAAAGTTTACGACTTTCCAAAGCCGCCATCGCATCCTATATTCAAGCTGTTAGCCGACGGAGTTGCGCAATACGAAGGAGGGAAATGGTCCACGCACAAGAGGATTGTGAACCCTGCCTTTCACCTAGAGAAACTCAAGGTCGCAAAAGCAATTGACATTTACCATGATTTTGATTTTTGAATTTGTATATCTTATTATGTAAACGACTTAGGGTTTCGGAGGAATGAAATTCATTGATTTGTGATACATACAAGAAGGGCATATATACACATGTGTATGTTACGCTTAAGGTAACCAAACGGCATAAAATAAGGAGGAGATTAGGATGCAATATAGAAACAGAAATATCAAAGAGATATCAGGAAGATATTCTTCCATTACGCCCCCGCAAGATGTGGCTCGTGTGCGAGACCAATCTTGACCCGAAGAAGATCAAAACGTGCTCGAGGCAGCGGCTTGGTGAGAGAATCCGCGAGTTGGTCTTGAGATGAGACGTGTGTCACACGTAGAGAACCGTCCTGTACTAGCCCGCGAATGAAGTGATAATCAATGGCGACATGTTTCATTCTGGAGTGGAAAACTGGATTGGCACAAAGGTAAGTTGCACCGACATTGTCGCAGTAAATTACCGGTTGAGGTAGCGAGGTGATGCCGAGTTCCGAGAGAAGAGAGGATAGCCATTGTAATTCAGCGGCTGTAGAGGCGACAGACTTGTATTCAGATTCGGTGGAGGACCGCGCAGCCGTGCGTTGCTTTTTCGAAGACCATGATATGGGATGACGGCCAAGGTAGACCACATGAGCACTAGTCGAGGTGAAATCATCTTTGTTCCCACCCCAATCAGCGTCCGAAAAAGCATGAAGATGCATAGAGTTGTTGGATGTCATAAGAATGCCAAGTGATGATGATCCAGCAAGATATCTCAAAACACGCTTAACCGCTTGCCAATGATCGGTTGTGGGCCGATGCATGAATTGAGACAACTTATTCACGGCAAAAGCAATATCCGGGCGGGTGAAGTTGAGATATTGAAGACTCCCCACAACATTTCTGTATTCGGATGGATCATCCAAGAGGTCACCCGAGTTCAAAACCAATGATGTGGTCGAAGACATTGGAGTAGCTACGGGTTTTGCATTTGCCATATGCGTGCGTTCAAGAAGATCCAAGATATACCTCTTTTGAGAAAGATCCAGACCGGCGGTTGTCAAATCCCCGAGGTCTTTAATAGAAAAGCGGTCCGAGAGCGTGCTGATGAACTTTTGGCATTGGGATGTGTTGTTGCCGGTGACGACAATGTCATCAACATAGACAAGAATATAGAGCACAATATCACGATCCCGAAAAACAAAGAGAGATGTGTCGGCCAATGAGTTGTGAAATCCCGAGGATAGTAGAAATGTTCGTAGCTCAGTGTACCATGCCCTTGGTGCTTGTTTAAGACCATAGAGTGCCTTGTGCAGCTTACAAACATGAGACGGCCGGTCTCGATCAACAAAACCGGGAGGTTGAATCATGTAGACATCATCATGAAGGGTACCTTGTAGGAAGGCATTGTTTACGTCTAGTTGACGTAAAGTCCATCCTCGGGTGATGGCAATGCTTAGAACAAGGCGAATGGTAGCGGGCTTGATCACCGGACTAAATGTGTCATGGTAATCAATTCCCGGTCTTTGATGGAATCCTTTTGCCACAAGTCGAGCTTTGCACCTGTCAAAAGAACCATTAGAATGTCGTTTAATGCGAAACACCCACTTACATCCGACGACATTATAGGAAGGGTCCGATGGAACCAATTCCCACGTGCCGTTCTTGACAAGAGCATCGAACTCCACCGTCATAGCTTGCCTCCAATGGGAAGATTTAAGAGCTTGGGAGACGGTCGTGGGTTCTATGTCAGGATGAGAGGTAACGGTCGAACGGTGAACGTATTTGGTAGTGGGTTTGGTAATGTTATTTTTGGATCGGGTTGTCATGGGATGGTTGTTGCGTGGGGAAGAAGAAATCGATATAGGCTGAGGGTATGTGTCTGGTTCAGATTCTTGTGAGGAAGAAGAGGCTGATGGTGATGATAGGTTGGAAAAAGGGAATGTGGATTCAAAAAAGGTCACATGTCGTGAGGTATAGACTCGAGAAGTGGTTGGGTTTAGACACAAGAACGCACTCTGTGTTAAGGAGTATCCGACAAAGACACAAGGGGATGATCGAGGGTCGAGTTTGTGAGTGGAATACGGGCGCAACCAAGGGAAGCATAAGCAACCAAAGGTGCGGAGTTTGGAATAGTTGGGATAAGAGCCGAAAAACATCTCAAACGGTGACTTATGACCAAGAATCTTGGTCGGAAGCCGGTTGATTAGATATACGGCCGTTGGAAAAGCAAATGACCAGTAGGACCGAGGGATCGAGGCTTGGGTAAGAAGGGATAAGCCTGTCTCCATTATATGGCGGTGTTTTCTTTCGGAGATGCCATTGTGTTCGGGTGTGTGGGGCGGAGTGGTGAGATGTGTGATACCATGTGTTGAAAGGAATGACCGAAGGGCAATATATTCACCACCATTGTCGGTGTATAAGGTTTGAATCTTGTGTGAGAAACGGTTCTCAACCAAGGCTTTAAACCGTGGAAAGATCTCAAGGACATGTGATTTTCGTTGTAAGGGATAAAACCACGTGTATCGGGTAAAGTGATCAGCGAAAATGACATAATACTTTAGTCCATCAAATGAAGGTATCGGTGATGTCCAGATATCCGAGAAGATGATTTCGAGGGGACGAGAAGACGATATAGTGGACATAGAAAATGGAAGTTTATGTGTTTTATTGATTGAACACGGTTCACACAACAAGGACTTTGAAGACTTAGAAGACAACGGAAGCGAAAACTGACTAATGACTCGATGGAGGACATCGTAAGATGGATGTCCTAACCTGGAATGCCAATCCAAGAGGTTTGTTTTTATTGCAACAAATGCAGAAGGAGAATGATCCGAAGGAGACAAGGTAGGAGAAAGGAAAGTGGGCCACTCATACACGCCATCTCTAACGAGTCCTTTGGTGATGACCGCCCCCGTGACAAGATCCTTCACCTGAAAATGCAAGGGAAAGAATTCCACCGAAACTTTATTAGTAGTGCATAATTGGTGTAAGGAAATTAGGTTCTTACGAAGTGAGGGTACACAAAGAACATTATTAAGGGCGAGGGGTCGAGAATGAGAGTGTATAGACATAGAACCCGAGTGTGTGATGGTGTGGTTGGACCCGTCGCCAAGCTCGACATCTTCACCACCGGAGTAAGGAGAGTGGAGAGCGAGATTTGCCAAGTCGGATGTAATGTGGTGTGACGCACCGGAGTCAAGCAGCCACGTCGGTGAGGAAGCTGAAGGAGCAAGGGTGGTATGGTTCGCTCGTGCTTGCCAGGGCTGATGCGAAGAAGATCCAGTGCTAGTGTTTCCAGAGAAAGAACCGTGGGGCAGTAGGCGACACCGTTTTGCACTGTGTCCCTGAACACCACACAACTGACATTTGCCTTGATAACCGGAGGATTTCCGATTGCGTGGATGTGAAGTATCCTGTTTGGAATCAGCAGACTGATTCCAAGGCTCACGAGAACCGGAGCTGTAGTGTCGTGTTTGAGCGTTGTTTGCCGTGATAGGCAAGACAGGAGGTGCATCTTCGGAGGTCAGGAGAACACATTCCTGATTGAGAAGCTTCTCATGAAGCTCGGTGAAAGAGATCGGGATATCACGAGCATTAACGGCGTCGATGACAGATTTGAATTCATCTCCTAAGCCAGAGAGAACGAGATCAATCAAATCTTCATGGTCAAGGGGTTTACCTAGAAGAGCCAATTCATCCGCCTTGACCTTGAAAAAAATGCATGTAGTCATCAATGTTTTTGGTGCCTTTGGTGAACCGACGCATGTTGTCCTTGATTTGTTTAATGTGTCCTCGACTGGATCTGCCGTAGGTGAAAGCAAGGATGGTCCAAGCTTCGCTGGTGGAGGCAGCACGGGCTATGAGAGCCTGACACGACACTGAAATAGAGCCAAGAAGGGCTGAGAATATAAGCTTGTCTTGGCGGAACCAATTTGGGTAGGCAGGGTTCGGTTTAACAACACTTTCCTCAGTGATTGTTGGAGAAACATTGTTCTCAGGCTCCAAGTAATCTTGAAGATCATATCCTTGGAGGAGCGATCGAAGTTGCAGACTCCATGTAAGATAGTTTGTTGTCGACAACTTAGTGATGTTGGTAACATTAATTGTTATCAACGAAAAGGGCAAATTTTCAGTGGTGGTGTTGGTAATTGCTGGATCTGTAGGCAAGGTGGATCCAGCAGAGTTTGTAGCATCAGCAGACATGGTTGATGCAGGGAAGAAGAAAGAGATGGAAAAAGAGGGCCAATTCGAGCGACCAGGATGACGAGGGGAATGGCGCGGTCTCGACGAGACATTGTTAGCCGAGACAGGAGCCGATGACAACACTGGCAAGGAGGACGAAAGGAGCAGCTTTGCTTCATGATTGAGAAGCTTCTCATGAAGCTCGTCAATAGGAATTGCAGTGTCCCGAGCATTGACCACATCAATGACGGGTGTGAACTCTTCCGGAAGACCATCCATGATAGCTTCAAGAACATCCTCGTGATTCCATCGGCTTACCAAGGAGAGTACGTTCATCGATTTTTGACGTGATGAAACGAAGATATTCATCAAGTGATTGAGAGCCTTTGACACTCCTCTTGATCTGATCACGAAGTTGCAAGAGATGTCCGTGGGAAGCTTTCCCATAAGTGTTGGTGACGATGGTCCAAGCCTCGAGGGTAGTTTTTGCCCGAGCAACTAAGGGTTGAAGAGAAATTGATATCGTGCCCAGCAAGGCACTGAACAAAAGCCGATCTTGTTGTTTCCAAGGACCGAAAGCCGGATTTTCGGTAGAAACACCGTCGGTAGTCACGGTGGTAGAAGGAACCGCAGAAGAGGCATCAATAAAGCAGTCTAGCTTGTAGCCTTCAAGGAGTGCTTTCACTTGGATGCTCCATGTTAGAAGGTTTGTGGAAGTAAGCTTCGTGATATTTGCCATATTGATAAATAGCAATGTCTTTTGTGGAGATTGGACATCAAAGGTAGTGACTAATGGAAGAATATCTTCCTGATATCTCTTTGATATTTCTGTTTCTATATTGCATCCTAATCTCCTCCTTATTTTATGCCGTTTGGTTACCTTAAGCGTAACATACACATGTGTATATATGTCCTTCTTGTATGTATCACAAATCAATGAATTTCATTCTTCCGAAACCCTAAGTCGTTTATGGTATCAGAGTCATAGAAGTCTATCGACTCTATTTTTTTTTCCGCCGTCTCTTTCTTCTTCCCTGCATCAACCATGTCTGCTGATGCTACAAACTCTGCTGGATCCACCTTGCCTACAGATCCAGCAATTACCAACACCACCACTGAAAATCTGCCCTTTTCGTTGATAACAATTAATGTTACCAACATCACTAAGTTGTCGACAACAAACTATCTTACATGGAGTCTGCAACTTCGATCGCTCCTCCAAGGATATGATCTTCAAGATTACTTGGAGCCTGAGAACAATGTTTCTCCAACAATCACTGAGGAAAGTGTTGTTAAACCGAACCCTGCCTACCCAAATTGGTTCCGCCAAGACAAGCTTATATTCTCAGCCCTTCTTGGCTCTATTTCAGTGTCGTGTCAGGCTCTCATAGCCCGTGCTGCCTCCACCAGCGAAGCTTGGACCATCCTTGCTTTCACCTACGGCAGATCCAGTCGAGGACACATTAAACAAATCAAGGACAACATCACTTTCCTCAGTGATTGTTGGAGAAACATTGTTCTCAGGCTCCAAGTAATCTTGAAGATCATATCCTTGGAGGAGCGATCGAAGTTGCAGACTCCATGTAAGATAGTTTGTTGTCGACAACTTAGTGATGTTGGTAACATTAATTGTTATCAACGAAAAGGGCAAATTTTCAGTGGTGGTGTTGGTAATTGCTGGATCTGTAGGCAAGGTGGATCCAGCAGAGTTTGTAGCATCAGCAGACATGGTTGATGCAGGGAAGAAGAAAGAGATGGAAAAAGAAAAAAAAAAAAGAGTCGATAGACTTCTATGGCTCTGATACCATAAACGACTTAGGGTTTCGGAGGAATGAAATTCATTGATTTGTGATACATACAAGAAGGGCATATATACACATGTGTATGTTACGCTTAAGGTAACCAAACGGCATAAAATAAGGAGGAGATTAGGATGCAATATAGAAACAGAAATATCAAAGAGATATCAAGAAGATATTCTTCCATTATTATGTATGGTTTTGCTGCAGAACATGGTTCATGCGTTCTGCGAGAGCAGCCACGAGATGGTGCGGAAATGGGAGAGGGTGGTGCCGTAGGATGGATCCACGTATGAGATCGACGTGTGGCCGTGGCTAGTGAGCATGACGGGAGACGCCATTTCTCGGACAGCGTTCGGGAGCAGCTACGAGGAAGGTAAACCTATATTCGAGCTCCAAGATGAACAGACCAGGCAAGTTCAACAAGCTCTTCATCTGGGTTTCATCCCTGGACTGAGGTTCATGTTCTTCCATTCCATTATCAACTTATATACACACACTTTGATGCGATTCACTTCTTTTGTGCCACGACTTTGATGAAGGTTTCTACCGACAAAGAGCAACAATAGAGTGAGAGAGATAGACAGAGAAGTGAAGAGAAGGGTAGGGGAGATCATTGAGAAACGAGAGAGAGAGGCCAAAGGATGATTTATTGGGAATACTGTTGGAGTCGAACTCGAGAGATCAAGGCGAGATGAGCCACCGAGAAGTCATGGAAGAATGCAGGCTGTTCTACTTAGGCGGGCAAGAAACCACGTCTTCGCTCCTCGTCTGGACAATGGTTATGTTAAGTTGGCACCGAGAATGGCAAGCTCGTGCCAGAGACGAAGTCTTGCAAGTCTTCGGACATGACAGCAAGCCTGACTTCAACGGTCTCTCTCGCCTTAAAACTGTAAGATGCACTGTGTTTTCTACTTTAACATGAACTGAGTTTCGTCCCGAAAACACAAAAAACCAAAACTTTAGCAGATAAACGAAATGAAGCGTTACTTTGATTTTGATTTTCAGGTGGCCATGATATTGAACGAGACTTTGAGGCTATACTCACCGGGAGTGGCACTAGACCGAGTGGTAAGCAAAGAGACAAGACTAGGAGACATGAATCTCCCTGAAGGCGTGCAAATAGCAATTCCGATGCTATTGGTGCATCGAGATCCCGAGCTCTGGGGCGAAGACGCGACGGAATTCAAACCTGAGAGATTCGAGGAAGGGGTCTCAAAGGCGACAAAGAACCGAGCAGCGTCGTTCATACCGTTTGGATTCGGACCAAGGATCTGCCTTGGCCTCAACTTTGCAATGACAGAAGCCAAGATTGCTCTGTCTCTGATTCTGCAGAGATTCTCCTTCGAGCTTTCGCCCTCTTACGCTCACGCTCCTCTTAAGGTTCTCACAGTTCATCCTCAGTTCGGTGCTCAGTTGCTCTTCCGTAGGCTCTGAGATCATGAAAATGTAATGCCACAATAATGATGATCCATGATAATGGTAAATATTAAATAATATTCTATCTTTACTTAATTGTCATCACAAAAACTAATTAAAGTTATGAATATATATATATATATATATATATATAAATATGTTTACATACAAACTAGAATCAGTTTGTAGCCATATGTTTTTACTCCAATATTATCCATTTCTCCCTCTATCTCTGTCTCGGTTGCCGGGAAAATGGCTAATGTCGGAGAAATTCTTCTTCCGACTTAGTCCTTAGTTTCTGATGTCACTTGTTTCTTGAAATGCAAGTTTTCTGTTCGATGCCGTCTCTTTGTATGTGTGTCCTATGCTGAATTTTTCAGATAAATGGCGAAAAAAAGCTTACGAATTTAGCAATGGAAGTTTCTGGATTCTAGGGTTTGTATAAGACTCATCGATCAAGCTTCCTTGTGATCATTTCGCTCCCATATGGCCTCAATTGCTCTGCTTTTACCCTACTCGACGCTGAATCGCCGCAGATGGTGGCACGTGCGAAGCTCCGGCGAAGATGCGGCGCGTGAGATGCGCGTGTGCACTAACCGCACTTGCAGGCGACAAGGGTCCTTGCAGATTCTGGAGACATTGTCGTCTCTGTCCCCACCGGACCTCCTCGTCAAGCCCTGCGGCTGTCTCGGCCGCTGCGGCTCCGGTCCTAACCTCGTGGTTTTGCCACAAGGTCTCGTCATCAACCACTGCGCCACGCCCTATCGAGCCGCCGAAATCGTCGTCCATTTCTGCGGCGGCGAAGTTTCCGCCGCCTCCGCCGCTCTCACCGCCTTGGCTCTCAGGAACAGAGCACTCTCCGAGATCGAAAAGGGCAATTTCTCCAAGGCTGAATCCTCTCTCACGCAGGTCTGAAGAATCTTGAGTGTTGGTTGTGTTTTATCTCCTCCTTGTCGGAGCTTGATCTGAAATGAAAGTTCTTCCGGTGGAAATTGTGTTTGCAGGCAATAGAATTGAAACCCTTTGGTGGATTGCATAAGATTTTCAAAGACAGGTACAGATTTCTTCCCGAAACCTTACATGTTCTTTATACTGTCTCGTTGCAATTGGATCAAGAAGCTTGTTGATCATATGGTGTCTAGATCAGTTGCAAGGCTTGGAATGCTTGATTACTCAGGAGCTCTTGAAGATACTAAAAAGGCTCTGGATTTAGCTCCCAACTATTTGGAGGTACCACTTGTCTGTTTGGTTTGATGTCCTATTTGTTTGCAGAGTTTTGTCTCAAAGAGAGCTCGGTTTTGATTCTGTGTTAGCTTTATCTGACAGGCATACATATGTCAAGGTGATGTTTTTGTAGCTACTGGTCAGTATGATCTTGCGGAGAAGTTGTACTTAGCATGTTTAGAGATGGATCCTTCTCTTCGGAGATCGAAATCATTCAAGGTATGCTTCATTTTTCACGACACTTTCACTTATTGCTCGGGCCTGGATACATGCTCAAACCCGACAGATCCGTGGGTACCCGAAATTTGGGAACCCAACCGTCAGCGAGAGTGGGGTCGGATCTTTCTCCGGCAAGAACCAGAGCCGCGGATTTGAGTATGACTTTATCCACCGACTACCCGTAACCTGCGGATACGCGAGAACTAGATGGGAAAAGGAGAAGAGCTGAGAGGAGGGAGAGGGGAGAGAGAGACACGGCATGGCTGCGAGGCGAGCTTGGAGAGGGCAAGAGCCGGCGAGACAGGACGTGGGTGAAGGCAAAACCGGTATTACACTTTTAAATTAAAATCCATAAACATTTTGCCTCGATGCTCACCCTCCTGCCTCGGCACCCTGGAATGCTCGCCTCGTCGGCCTTCTCAACCTTTTGCCTGAGGCGAGTCGTCTCGTCGGTTGGATATCTGAGCGTGCACCTGTACCTGAGAGTTGGTTACCCGACCCACAGGCCAAGATACCTCGACCGAGGGGGCTAGGCCGGAAATCTCGGGTACCCGCCCGTAGTTCAAGCTATCTTGCGGTTGAAACGCTAATCTTTAAACAAGAACACAAGTAACGAACTGTGTGTTGTTCAAGATGGGTTACTGAAACTACATTGTTTTAAATGCTCGCAGGCTCGAACCGAGAACGTTGGAAAGAAACTCGTCGTCGAAGCAGATGCACAATGATCGCTCTTTATGTGTTCGCAAGGAGAGAGCGAAATTCTCGTTTCTTGATAATATATATATATTTTTTTTACAAGATTTACCCATTTTGATGGCGTTGTCCTTCTCCTCCGAACAAATTGCGGGGATGTATAAAATCATTATTTTATTTGATAATAGACATAGTTTGACATTTTCAAAAAATCTATTTTTTTTATTAGTTCGGTAATTAGAGAACTTATTTTACCATAATAATCACTCCGATGGCTTTTAGTGCATTGGATGCATTTCGCGTTGGTCTCCAAATGTCTTGTCAGAAGAAAGAAAGAACAAAGATTTCCTGTTTCAATGTGGAAAAATTGTTCTAACAAGAAAAATAATTAAACAATGACATTTACGAGATAAAAGACTTTTTTAAGTAACCGAATGGATCAATGTCCAAACTAATTTTGGAATCGAGGTTGTCATGTGATTTGGAATATATTTCTTTATCTCTAAATTTTAAATTTAAATTCTATATGGATTGAACTATTTAAATTTATATAAGATAAAAGCGAGAAGAAAAAAATAATGGGTATGAATGGTCAGTGGATTTAAAAACACAAGAAATTCGCTACCAATTTAATCTTACACAAAAACACCACAAGTTGTTCTTCTTCGATCTTGATCTCTGGTTTTGTTCTAATTGTGCTAAATAAAATCACAACGGTTTTGTTTTTTCTATCACATTTCATCCTTCTTGATGTAGTTCATTATCCAATAGGAAAAGGGCTTTAGATGAATGGTTTAAGAGTGAAATCATGTTATTATAGATAAAAAAAAAATACAATTATGTGAAGCTGAAATGATGTGTTGTTGATATTATATATCTTCGTCGCTAAGATATGGTATGAGGGCCTTCTAGGATCTCAATTGAAAAGTCTAATGCAAAGTTTGTTTCGAATTTTGTATCTTAAAAATATACATAAAACATATATATATATATATATATATA